CTTCATGTTTGGTGGCATGGTCTGCTGTTCCCTGACCAGCACAGCCAGGATGGCCACAGGTCACTGCAGCCCCACCTCCTTCAACTGTGAGAGCAGCTACATCACCCACTGCACCTGCACAGTATACCTGAAGATGTCTTCAATTCCAGGCTAGTGGCAGGGGCGGGAGGGGGGGCAGGAAGTATCCCCACCCCACCTGCAGCACCAGTTGATGTCAGCTCTTCCCCTGACCATCTCCCAGGAAATCCTTCTATTTCCGAGGACATTTGCTTGGGATGCCATGATGGTGAGTGTTGGCAGGAGGAGGGCCACACAGCCGGCAAAGTCAGAGAATGCCCCATTGTCCCCCACCCCTACCCCATCTTGGTGCCGGCAGTACCAGGCACAGCTTCCACAGATCCTGTGTGTGCTTCTGGAGTTGAGAGAGCAAGAATGGGAGGGTCTATCTCCTCTCAAGGCTCATTCAGCATCTCTGTCCCAAAACAGCAACTTCCAGAACCCTCTGTCTCTCCCTTCCCACAGCTGGAGAGGCCCCTTGCCAGGTTGGGTCCATGCCCAGAGCTGAGCTCTGCCAAGGGCAGGGAAATGGGAAATCAGACCCAGCGGAGGTGTAGGTTTCAGGGCTAGGCATTGAGGTGGCAGGAGGAAGGGGGGAAGGGAAGAAGCCAAGGACCCATGGGTCCAGTGGACAAAGACAGCATAGACTCGCGTGATGGAAACAGATCACACCCACTGGAGCCAACCAGAGGGCCCAAGCACTGACACAGACAGAGACCCAGGCCACCGGGCACGTGACTGTCACAGGGCTGCCTTCATACCAGCAACACTTTCTTCCTGAAAGACAGCCCATTTGATTGTGTCTTTTTATTTTTTTTTTAAGATCAAGTAACACAGTAACTACTGGGAGTGATCCAAGCCCAAGGACTTTGGAACTGGAATGTGCTGGGCTTCTTTCCAGCCTCAATTATGTGTAGATGACACTGCATAAGATACTCAGCCTCCTGGGGTCTCTGTTTCCTCTCTTGTAAAATGGGCTTGCAAACAGCAGCTGCTGCCTAGGGTGGTGGTATCAAGTGTTAAAAAAAAAGAAAAAGAAAAAACAAGCAGACACACTCAAATCACTTAGAACAGGGTCTGCCTAAACATTACTGTGATGATTAATAATAAGCAAAGCAAATGCCTTCCCCCAGGGTGCACTGGGGACAAGAGCACATATCCCATACACTGGGGGACAATGAAGCCCCCCAGATAGCAGACAGATGACTTACAACCAGGAGGTAGGCCTCTCCATGCCTTGTGGACCTCAGGAAGGGCAGCCAATAATATGAACAGTGTTCTGGATATCTGGGAATTCCCCCACCTCATGAATCCCCCAAATGCCCACACCAGATGTCTTCTAGAAATGCACCACACCCACCTTCCTGTTCTTCCTGCTGGTCTCAAGGAAGTAAATAAACCTGGGGTTTAAAAATGGGATTCTCTCCCCCCACCCCCAAGCCCTCCATTTACCATCTATAATTCCCCTATCAGGGTGAAGAGGAAAGTCCCCTAACCCTGTGTTCTTCTCAGACTAGCTAATCAATCAAATTAACATGAGAAAGATCAGTGGGAGAAAATAACAAATTTAATTTGCAGAATGCACATGGATGTAGAGTCTAAAACCAATGGGCGATGTGAGGGTATTTGTACCCTGAGCTAAGGAATGGGATAGGGACCTGGGGCTTCAGGAAAACAGGTGGGGGTTCATGTGGTGAGAAGGTGACTCCTATGACAAAGACCAAATGCTCTGTCACTTGGTGCTTGCCCTGCCATGTAGACAGATTTCTCAGATGGAAGGTTCACTTCTGGTAAAAACCCTAAGTCTTGGTAACACCCCCAATTTTCCTTCTAGGTAGTTAAGGGAGTGATTAAAGTTTCTCATGAGCCTCTAGGGCCTCAATTGACCTCAGCTCAAAAGAATCTGCATACCAAAGTTATAGGTCTTAGGAAGGCCTGTTATGGACAGCCTGGGTAGGCCTATCTTTCACCCCCAATGCTGGCTTATAGTTAATAGCACAAAACTGCTACAATGGTGGTTTTGGGGACCATAGCCAACCCTCTTTAGAGGATATATTCCATTCCCATATAAAAGCTACAAGCTAATGCTTCAAGCTACCCAGGATTGGACTGAAATGTAGATGCAAAAATGCCATTCCTGCATGGGGGTCACTCTGCATACCTGCTGCAGGCACTTCGAGGCACTGCCCGTGTTCCCCAGCTCTACCTGCAGTCCTGGTCATGGGGATGGAAGACTTCACCCTTGTGGCTCATTATCCAACTCCTTTTTTTGGCCCTGATTGTTCACTGGCCACAGCCACATCTTGAGTCTACGATATAGACTTAGGATTCCTATAGGGAGCTTGATGGCTTTCTGGGTGGTAGGAGATGCTATGAGATGCCTGGGCACCAGGAGGATCTGCTTGCTTGGGACATATGAGTATACCTGGCATACTACTACCTCCAGGATGGGAGCTCAGGAGAGGTCAGATGGGTCCATCATGGGGTTCAGGTGATGTCAGCCCACCCTAAATTCCTTTCCCCTTCTTCCAGGCTTCTACATCTCTGCTCTTTCTACATCTCAGGTAATGCCTAGTCCAGCAGCTCCAAGACCTAGAAGTCTAGCCCCTGCTTTTCATTCTCTTCTGCTTTACCCACTCTCTGTATTCCTCCCCTTGGGGCCATCAGGGAGCTCAAGCAATGCCCTGCTGAAGAAAGGGTACCAAAGGGCATGTCTCCACCTGGAGAGTCCCTTCTGGGGTGGGCTAACCCAGAAAGCCCCATCTCTGCCGTGGGGCTCTATCCACACCCCAAATCAGCCCTCCCCTAGCAGAGTGGCACAGGAAACTCCATTTTTCCAGCGCTGATCCCTAAACCATCCCCTTCCAACAGGGCCTCACCCATTTTATGTTTTTTAAGATTTGACATATTAAAAAATTAAGAAATACCAACACAGGCTAATGTATTCTTGGTATACATTAACGTGGATTGGTGGATCTCCTATTTCAATCCAGAAACCAGGTCTCAGGAATCAATTGTGACAATGCATTGGCTGATGACCTCAAAAGTCTACAGCATTGTTGGCATTGGTGTTTGGGGTGGGTAATTGTTTGCTGGGGGTGGGGGGCATTCTGTGCAGCATCTCTGGGCTCTATCTGTTAGATGCCAATAGCAGCCCGAGTTGTAAAGATCAAAGATGTTTCCAGACTTCTCGGCCAAGTGTCCCAGGGAGAGCTAATCACCCCCAGCTGAGAATTCCTGGGCTAAGTGATTTTATTAAGCCTCCCCCAGAGAATGTCTCCCACAATCATCTGAGCTACTGAGGTCTGGGATGCTGTGCATATTTAAATACACAAACCGCAGAGAGGTGAGTCAGAGATCCTGGGGGTCACCCTGGTCCATAACATCTAACCCGTTGGGAATTTATTCTAGAATATAGTGTGAGCTAGAACTCTAACTCAGTTTTTTTCCCAGTCCTCAGCATTATCACTATTTGGGATCAGGTAATTCTTGGGAAGGGGGGTGGGGAAGGACTGTCCTGTGTACTGGAAAATGTTTCAAAACAACCACCCACTAGATGCCACATACCATCCAAGCATGACAACAACAGAAAAAAAAAATCTCCAGTCATTGCCAAGTGTCCCCTAGGAGAGCAGAATCATCCCCAGCTGAGAACCACTGGTCAAAATTGTAGTAACTGGCCATCACGAGGTGCCAGCCGTAGCTAATCTGGCCAGCCCCATGCCCCCGCCCTCACCCCCACATTAGCCAGAAGCCATCCTGGGTAAGGGGGAGGCTTCCTGACATGATAGAACCAGAGGCTGCCTGCTGAAGGTGGCCCCGAGAAGCCTGGCCTTCATTAGAGGGTCAGTGCCGGAAGTCTGGTCCAGTCCCTGATAATAACTGCAATACTATTAGCTACAATTTATTTATTGCTTACTCTGTGCCAGGGGAAACTGGGGCCATCTTGTTAACTGGGTCATCTCACCGGACTCTCCCATTCCCCTCAAGGGTGGCCATTCTTGATTGCACCCTGCTTGCAGATTAGGAAATTCAGTCACAGACAGTTAAAGGGACCTGTGCAAGGTCATACAGCTAATAAGAAACATGAAGCTGGGAGGAGAGGGGGTTTGTAATAACAGCATTGAAGCAGAGGGGTGCTGATCTGGGAGGAGCAAAGCAGCTCCGGGGAATCACTATCCCCTCCCTACACCCCCCACCCCAAGATGTAATCCAGCTATGAGTCTTCATTTTCCACCCCTGGCAAGGCTGGGATGACCACATCTGCTACGAACCCAAAGCCAGCAGAGGCATCCAGGGGGAGCGCCCAGTTCCCCGCAATCTGTCAGCTTCCACAGCACCCCAGTCAAACATGGAAGGAAATTGTAGTTTTACTTACTACGCAGCTTCAAGATAAGTCCTCCAGGAACCGACCGCCCCCACCCCTCCCGAATAAATCGCTGCTCCGGCGCCCCCGGTTCGAACCCACTAGATGACCCTCCCAGTTAACACGAAGATTCTGGCGAATGAGACCTAAGTGGGGTGCAAGGGAGGCTGTGCACAGACCAACTGAGGCCGGGCGGCCGGGCCCGGGGCGCGGGCGGGAGGGGAGCAGGGAGAGGCAGGCGCTCCCAGTTGCTTGTTTACTGGGAGCTCGCTCTCCCCCCTCCCGACCTCTGCAAAATCTGGGTTGCCAGATGTGCTGGGGAGTGGGGACGGATGGGGGGGCGTGGGGAAATGGTGCAGACGAGCCCGAGGGGCCTCCCCCCAGGGTGGGCGAGGTCTCCTCGCCGCAGAGGAGGGCGATCCCTCCACTCCTGCACCCTCCGTCCGGGGGCGGGGCCAGGGGCGGGGCGGACCTGTGACCGGCTGTGACGAGGGCCGCGCCCGCTCTTATAGCGGCGCCCCCGGGGCGCAGGGACAGTGCTTCGCCGCTGCCGCCGAGCGCCCGCCGAGCGCCCACCTCCCGCCCCGCCGCCGCAGCCCCAGCCTCCGCGTCACCCCGCGTTCGCTGTCAGCGCCTCCGCCATGCGGGAGATCGTGCACCTGCAGGCCGGCCAGTGCGGCAACCAGATAGGGGCCAAGGTGTGCGTGGGACCCGGCCCCGGGAGGCGGTCGAGAGGAGCGGAGCGAGGTCGTTCAGCCTCGCAGGGCTCCCCCACCTTGGGTCTTTGGGGGTTACGGGTCCCCTGGAGGCCAGCACCCCAGGGACGGTGGGGGAGGAGCCCTGGGGGGCAGGGCCAGGCTGGGAACAAAGAGGCCAATGGGGGTGGGGCCTAACCTTCTGTCCGCTGACCACAGCTGTCTTCACAGCTGGACCACTGTCCCCTGCACACGCACAAAGAGAGGAGCCGTCTCCCCTCGCCGCTGCAGCCAGAGCCACTGACAGCAGCCAGCTAGGCTGGGGGTGGGAAGAGGGGGTAACTCTGCTTCACCCCGCCCCCACCACTCCCTTCTTGCTGCCTCATCCTTGCCTCCCACTATGCCTCCAGGTCCCCCATTCTTTTTGCTGGAGGGGAACAGGTGCCATCTAGGCAGGTGGTGTGGCATCCTGGCTCAAGAAGATGGAAGTGGGCTCTCTCTCTCTCTCTCTCTCTCTCCCTCCTCTTGCTATCATCCCTTTAGTTTTGGGAGGTGATAAGTGATGAGCATGGCATCGACCCCACGGGCACATACCATGGGGACAGTGACCTGCAGCTGGAGAGAATCAATGTGTACTACAACGAGGCCACAGGTAGGATGCAGGGGCATCTGTGGGAGTGGGGGTGGGGAGGAACCTGGAGAGAGAGGATGCTGGTTCCTGGCTCTCACCCCAGCTGCCCTCCATCTGCTTCCTTACAGGAGGAAATTATGTTCCCAGAGCAGTACTGGTGGACTTGGAACCAGGCACCATGGACTCAGTGCGCTCAGGCCCTTTCGGCCAGATCTTTCGGCCAGACAACTTTGTGTTTGGTGAGTCCCCAGCACGCAGCACAGGCAGAAATCCCTCCTGTTCCCCAGCTCAAATCAGGGCCTCAACCACGACCACAGCCCAATGAGGGCAGGACCCAGCAGTCAGGTCTGTGATAGGGGAACCACAGAGCACTGTGGTAGTCCAGGAAGCCTTTTGATGAAGGATGAGTGGTCAGGAAGGCTTCCTGGAGGAGGTGATATTTTAATTTAACAATTATGAACTGGAGCCAGAGTGCCTGAGTGCAAATCCCAGTTCTGTCACTTCATGCATTTGACAAATACTAATTGAGTCTGATTGCATGCCAGATTCCACTGTATCCCCTGGGGAGACAACCAAGGAACAAAGCAGACAAGGTCACGTCACCCCTGGAGCTGACATCCTGGTGGAGGGAGATGGGAAGCAAAGATAAGTAAATGAAACTCAGATAAGGACTGAGTCAGCTGGGTGACTGTGGATGGACCCACCCAAATTTCTCAGACACATCATCTTTAAAAAGGGATTATAGAAAAGACCTACTTTTCAGGCACATGATGCTTCAAGAGATTAGTATGTGTAAAGAACGTAGAATAATGCACAGAGAAAAGGGTAAATAAGCAATCATTGTGGATGCTTCATTATCATAGTATCTGAAGCCTAAAAGATGAGTAGAACTTGGACTGAGAAAAGGTCCTTGAAGGGAGAGAGGTGTCCCGACAGAGGCACAGCATGTGTGACAACAACAGGCACGTCTGCAGTAGGGTCAGTGGGCACGCACACTCTGATATTCCTCCAGGATCTTTCTTGGTGCCTCCTAGGTCAGGTTGACCGCCCCCACCTGGCTACTCAAGGTTCCCCCAACATCCCAGCACCTCTCCTCTTCAGGGCGATGTTGTTTAGAGTCTGGAGTCCAGGGAGTGATAAGAAAAGCTGTGTGACCTTGGACAAGTGACTTCCCCTCTCTGGTCTATGCAAAGATTCAACAAAATAATGAACCTCTGCTGCAGCGTTGGTGCACAATAGATCCTCAGGGTTGTAGGATACTCCAGTGGCTCCAGTCAGGCCAAGAGACTCTGTGACCTCTGGGAAACAGGGTAGAGGAGGTGGTAGTGAAAGTATCCTCTGAGGAGGTGACAGTGCACAGCCACCTGAAGGAAAACACAGCCAGGTGAGTACCAGGGAGGACAGCATACCAAGCAGCATGCACAGCCCACTCAGAGGCACTGAGGCAGCACAAGAGCCTGGTGTGTTGAAGGATCAGTGAGGAGCAGCTGATCCTCCTTGTGTCAGAGCAGCTGAAGCAGAGAAAAGGCAGGGAGGGGAGGGGAAGACAGGGAGGGGCTGGGGTAAAGGGTAGGTCTTTGTAGGACCTCCTAGGTGCACCAGGAGGAAGGTGGATGTGGGCTTTTGCAGGATCACCCCAGGGCTGTGGGCACGAGAGGGCCAGGCCTGACTCAGGTGCTCCCTGAGCCCTCTGGTGGCTGATGGGGGAAAGTGTATGGAGGAAGGAAGCCCTGGATCAGGGGCCAAGGCTAATAGGGCTGAGCGGATCCAGATGGGTGATGAGGGGGCAGGAGCAAGTTGGAGTCAGGGAAGGGGTGAGAAGAAATGTGAACTACTCACAAAAATACCAGTCAATATTCTAAGACTAATCCTCATCCTCCTGGAGCTTGCTTTCCCCTGTGAGATTATAGATGAGATGATTAGTAAGAAAGCATAGATTTGTCAGTGCTATGGTGAAAATCAAGTAGAAAAGAGGAATAATAAATGTGGAGGGGTTGCAGGTGTTTATAGAGTGACCAGGGGAAGGCTCGTTGCAGGTGACAAAGTCCTGAAAGAGGTGAGAGAGGGAGCCACGTGGAACTCTGGGGGAGGAGCATTCCAGGTGGCAGAAACAGCCTGTGTAAAGGTCCTGGGGCAGAACCATACCTGGCATGTTGGAGGATTAACAAGTAGGCCCATGTGGCTGAGGCAGAGTGATCAAGGGAGAGGATGAGGCAGGTTGTGTGGAGCCATGTGGGCACAGGGAGCACTTGGTCTTCTACCCAGACGCAGGTGGGAGGCCTGGGATAAAAGATGGTAGAAGTATTCAAAGATGGGAGTACTGAGATGATTTTGAGCCAATGTGGGCCATAATTAGATCTAACTTTTACCAGGATCCTCATGGCTGCTGGGTAAGGAGGGGGAGGATGGAAGCTGAAAGAACAATTAATAATAAAAATAATAGTAGTAGGGCCTCCCTGGTGGCGAAAGGGGTTAAGACGCAACCTATGAAGCTAACCACAGCCACTGCAGCACAAGTTGGATCCCTGGCCAGGGAGCTACCCACATGGTGCAGCAGACCTCTCCTGTCGCGCCCGCTGCTCCCCTCAGCAGTGTATTTCATCAGTCTGCCTGTTCTGTTCCCCTGCTCTGTCTCTGGTGAATCCTCTCCCGCCCCACCCCACCCCCACACCTCTGGCCAGTACCCCAGCTCTTAGATGCACAAAAATAAAATAAATATTAAAAAAATAATAGTAGTAATTAACATATTATTATTATTCAACCCCTGGGATGGCTGGGGTTGAGGGTGGGCTCGTCCCATAACTGTCTGTGTCCCTGCCCCTTCTCTCTCTAGGCCAGTCTGGAGCCGGCAACAACTGGGCCAAGGGTCACTACACCGAGGGCGCAGAGCTGGTGGACGCCGTCCTGGACGTGGTGCGGAAGGAGGCTGAGAGCTGTGACTGCCTGCAGGGCTTCCAGCTGACCCACTCGCTGGGCGGGGGCACGGGGTCGGGCATGGGCACGCTGCTCATCAGCAAGATCCGCGAGGAGTTCCCAGACAGGATCATGAACACCTTCAGCGTGGTGCCCTCGCCCAAGGTGTCGGACACGGTGGTGGAGCCCTACAACGCCACCCTGTCGGTGCACCAGCTGGTGGAGAACACGGATGAGACCTACTGCATCGACAACGAGGCCCTCTACGACATCTGCTTCCGCACCCTGAAACTCACCACCCCCACCTACGGGGACCTCAACCACCTGGTGTCGGCCACCATGAGCGGGGTGACCACCTGCCTGCGCTTCCCGGGCCAGCTGAACGCGGACCTGCGCAAGCTGGCCGTGAACATGGTGCCCTTCCCGCGCCTGCACTTCTTCATGCCCGGCTTCGCGCCCCTCACCAGCCGGGGCAGCCAGCAGTACCGCGCGCTGACCGTGCCCGAGCTCACCCAGCAGATGTTTGATGCCAAGAACATGATGGCCGCCTGCGACCCGCGCCACGGCCGCTACCTGACCGTGGCCGCCGTGTTCAGGGGCCGCATGTCCATGAAGGAGGTGGACGAGCAGATGCTGAGCGTGCAGAGCAAGAACAGCAGCTATTTCGTGGAGTGGATCCCCAACAACGTCAAGACGGCCGTGTGCGACATCCCGCCCCGGGGCCTGAAGATGGCCGCCACCTTCATCGGCAACAGCACGGCCATCCAGGAGCTGTTCAAGCGCATCTCCGAGCAGTTCACGGCCATGTTCCGGCGCAAGGCCTTCCTGCACTGGTACACGGGCGAGGGCATGGACGAGATGGAGTTCACCGAGGCCGAGAGCAACATGAACGACCTGGTGTCCGAGTACCAGCAGTACCAGGACGCCACGGCTGAGGAGGGCGAGTTTGAGGAGGAGGCCGAGGAGGAGGTGGCCTAGGGCTGCTCCCTTCACCTCCCGTTTGCCCCCCACCCCTAGGCTGCTGACCTCTGACCCCTAAGAGTGCTTGCAGACCCCCGCTTCACCCCAGAGCCTGACTCATCTCTGACCCTATCAACTTCTCTCCACCTGACCCTAACATGGCTTTGGAGCCCACGAACCTCACTGCACCTCTGACCCTGGCTCCCTCTGACCCTCAACTCCACTTCATCTCCAACCCCCTGAGCTCTTCCAACTCTAACATTCACATGAGCCCTGCTTCACCTCAGACCCCTGAGCCCTACCTTGAACTCCATGAGCCCTTCTTCACCCCAACCTCTCCTTCACCTTTAACCTCACCCATGAACCCCATTGCACCCCGAGACTTGTAAGACCCAGTTTACCTTTAACCTGCCCTCTAAGCCTCGCTTCACCTCCAGCCTGACCTTGCCTTACCTTTGATACCAGTTCCTGAACCTACTCCCCTCAGGTCCTGCCCACCTGCCTGTCCAGGGGTGTAGAGCCCTGGAGCAGGTGGGCACGAAAAGTTGTGCCCCTCCCCATCCTCTGCCCCCCGCCTCACCATCAATAAATGAATTATCTGCCACATTCCTTCGGTGTGCGTTTCCCTGTGGGAGGCCAGCAGCAGGGACCTCGCTCAGGGGATGGATGTAGGCATTGAAAGGGCATCTGACCCGAGAAAGGGGGCAGAGGTTTTGGAGTCAAACAGACCAGGCTGTGCCATTAACTCGCTGTAGAGTCTTGAGTAAGTCACCTGCCCTTCTGAGCCTTGATTTGCTTACCTGTAAAATGGGATCACATTGTCCCCCATCATCCCCACACGCTCACCTCGGGAAGGTTTGAGGACTTGAGGTCTCACGGGCACCATCCCTGGCACAGAGTGGGCATCTGTGGATCAAGCCACTGCCGTTCTCTTGGCCACTTACAGGAGGCATCTCCCGAAATGAGAGGATACAGGAGAGGTTTGATTCAGGCTTAGCCTCGACCTAAGCATTAGGTGACTTCTCAGGGACGCTTCATGGGGTTGCTGAGACAAGAACCGTGTCTGCTTATGTTACACAGGCAGAAACAGATCTCGAGGACATTCCACTTTGAGGTCATACATCAGGAATAGGAATTCTTCTTTTACCTCTGTCCCCACCGGTTTGTCATTGGGTGTCTGTCCTGAATTAGAGTGAATCTCAGAAATGAAGAGGGCTGGGGGTGGGGGGGGCTCTGCGGAGTCCAAGTCTGTCTTAGCCCAGTTGGGCCACTGTCACGGAATCCCACTGACTGGGTAACTCATCAACAACAGACATTTATTCTCACAGTGCTGGAGGCTGGAAGTTTGAGACAAAGGCATCAGCAAAGTCTGGTAAGGGCCCACTCTGGTTCGAAGACAGTCATCTGCTGGTTTGTGTCTGTGACTGCATTCTGCCTGCATGACTGTCTGCCATAGGTCACTTCTTGGCTGTGTGTGTGTGTGCGTGTGTGTGGTCTATTTATGCCTGTATCTGATTGCTGTGGTCAGAACCACACGGGGACTGTCCACTCTCCAGCCCAGCTCCCTCTGGTGGTCCTTAAGGGAATGGCCAGTGGGCCAGTGTGGACAGACCATGAGATAGAGTTGAGGAAAGAGGAAGAAAGCTTTTGTGAATCCGTGGCTGCCACAGAGAGGGGACAGCTTGTGCATGATGGCAAAGACCAGAAGGGGCTCACCCTGGCAGGACAGGCCTAGGGGCCTGGCCCTGAGCCTGCACTAATAGCCCACCCGAGCCTGGGAAGGTTGGCAGGCAGGATGCCTGGGTCTCTTGGAGTGGGTGGGGGCAGGGGCCTCCCTCCGGGGACGTCACCCACTAAACTTCCTCTCTCAGCCACACAGGAAGCAGAGCTCAAGGCCCAGCTTCACTCCAGCACAGGCCCCCAGGACCCTGGGGAGAGGGCTCCACTGGCCGGCCCTGCAGGGACCATGGGATCCAGAGCTGAGTAAGAACTGCCCCTTCCTCCATCCCCCACAGTAAGGTCTCCACAGCAGGCCTGGGCCAGGACGTAGGGGTGCGGGGCTGGCGCAGGCCCCGGAGGGACCAAGAGACACAGAGGCAGGTCACCGACTCTCAACCGCCCACAGTATGGATCCCACACACAGGCACACTCAGGCCTCTCAGCTCCTCCTCGCTCTCTCCCCAGCTCCGTGTGACTCAGTTTGTAGCCCTGAGTGTGAGCCTTTTGGTGTACCTGAGTGATGGGGAGCAGGGCTTACGGGAGGATGGGAGTCTAGGGGTGTCCATATGCGTGAGTGGCTGAATAGGGCTTGGATCTGCGTGAGGGTGAGGTGCAGGGTGGGCGGGGGGTGGGAGGGTCCCCCTGTCAGGTTCTGTGTGTCTTTGCCAGGACGTTGTGTCTGCATATACTCTCCATCCCCTTCCTCTGCGGCCCTTCAGGTCTGACGTTGCTTCCCCAGCCCAGTCCCAGCACCCTCTGCGGGGAGGGAGGAGGAGATGAGGGAGGGAGGCAGGGATTACATGGCTCACAGAAGCCGGGGGGCAAGCTGCTCTTCTTTCTCTGATGAGGAATTAGGCATCAGCACCCAGGGGCCCACAGAGTTTTGCACACGGATGCACGGCCAGGCCCCTCGTTCTCTGGACCACAGGCATCTTCACACCCTTACTCAGCCACACTCACAGCCATGCAGGAAAAAGGTGTTATTCGCCCTTACATTAGCTGGGTCACACATACTCACAATTCCACCTGACACATACACTGGGCACTCACGTGCTCAAGGTCACACATACACACGCCCTGTCTCTGCATCCCACTCCCAGCAGGCACACAGATGGACACGCACAGCCTGCACACTGCTGCCATAGCTCTCGGGGTCACACACACACGGGTACCCCAGTCACACGTGCATACACAAACACACATTTGTGCAGAGCCCACACAGACATAACCACACACAGAGAAGCAAGTCACTGGACCCACTAAGCTGTCTCCTGTCCCACAGAGGGGGTCCCCCTGCCATGTTTGATTGGTTCTTCGAAGCTACCTGCCCTGACTCCCTGCAGGAGGGTGAGTTGGGGTATCAAGTAGGGGTGGGAAGCTGGAGGGTAGGTCTAGACACCCGAATATAAGACCTGCTCTCCTCACAGATCCCCCCATCCTACGGCAGTTCCCCCCAGACTTCAGGGACCAGGTATGCTTCTGGTTCCTTGTTCCCGGGGTGCCCGGCCATTCCTGCTGGGGGAGACTATGTCTCTGACCTGGGGCCCAGGGGTGGCACCAGACCCTGGGCCCCAGGCCTCAATGGGGCTGGAGTATGTGTTTCTCTCTACCCCCCAGGAAGCTATGCAGATGGTGCCTAAATTCTGCTTCCCTTTTGATGTGGAAAGGTACGGAATAAGGAAGTGGACACCCCAGGAGCCAGGGGCTCACACCTCTCAGGAACTCCAGGGGTTCAAACACCCGGGGACTCAGATATCCAAAAACCCACACACGCAGAGACCATGACACCCTAACACCTAGGGACATAGACGCCCCGGGCTCTGAAAGATAGTGATCTGTACACCCAGATCGCAGACACAGGAGCACTGTTGGGGGGTCAGGGAGCAGGGATGCCCAGGTCTGAGAGTCTTTCCTGCCTCTAGGAAGCCCCACATCCCCGCTGTACAGCACTTCACCTTCACCCTGACCGACCTGACTGGCACTCGTAGATTTGGCTTCTGCCGCCTTCGGGCTGGTGCCCAGAGTTGCCTCTGCATCCTCAGGTGTGGGATATGGGATCTGGGGTGGGAGGGGATGGAGGGGTGTCCACTAGGAGCACTTCAAGGAAACCGTGCCCTCTCTCCACAGTCACCTACCTTGGTTTGAGGTGTTCTACAAGGTGCTGAACACAGTGGGGGACCTCCTGGCTCAAGATCAAGTGAGATCAGGAACCCCCTCACTCCCAGGGGAGTTAGAGCCGTGCTCCCTCACGTCCCCAGGCCTGACCCTAACCCCTTGGCTCCTCCCAGACCTCTCCGTCTAAGTCAAAGCCCTCAGTTTCCCAGCCCATGTTCTGTCTCAGACATCCCACCCCCACCCAGGTCTCTGAGGCTGAGGAAATTCTTCTAAACGTGCTGCGGCAGCCCCTGCCTGGGCCCCAGGCCTCTATGGGGCTGGAGCTGGTGAGTAGCCCCAACCCCTGGGTGTCAGGCCCCAGGTAGGTGGGGAAGCTCCTCAGTCCTGAAGACTGCAACTGCCTCTCCCCAGAACAGCGGAATGACCATCTCCAGCGCACAGGGCATCCTGCCCCCGGCCCCGGGGAAGAGCAGGCCGGTGAGTGGGGCTCCAGGACCCCGGCAAGTAAGGCGTCCGAGCAGGCCAAGGCCTGCCTGACCGCTGTGCTCCCAATCCCCCACCAGCTTTCCTGCTTCGTGGCCCCGGACTCCGGCCGCCTGCCATCCATTCCTGAGAACGTGAGCGAAAACCGGGCAGGCACCCCTGGGGGTGACAGGTGTCCAGGCCCCTGGGGGCTGGAGGGTGCCAGGTCGTAGGGTCCCTCGCGCCCAGCGTTGCTCTCTGCTCCTCAGAGGAACCTAACGGAGCTGGTGGTGGCGGTGACCGACGAGAACATCGTGGGGCTGTTCGCGGCGCTCATGGCAGAGCGAAGGGTCCTGCTCGTCGCCAGCAAACTGAGCACCGTGAGGCGCGGCCGAAGGGCCAGTAGGGCCGGGGGAGGGACCGAGGCCGGGCTTCGCCCCTGGGGGCGGGACAACGGGCCAGATTCCTAGCGCTGACCCCACCCGGCTCCATGCTGGCGGGGCCCCTTTGGAGGTGAGGGTTCAGCTGAACCCTGGATCCGCCCCCATGGGGGTGGGCGCGCGGGGGGGGGGGGGGTGCATCAGGGGAGGCTGCGCAGTTGCTCTTTCTCTTTGGAACCGCTGAGCTCAGATTCCGCCCACTACGACACAAAATAAGGCCGACCCCGCCCTCCTGGGGGTGAGATTAGGTAAAACTTCCCGCTGCGGGAGCTGCGTGTTGGCTCCACCCCGGGGGCGGCGCCGGGGCGAGCTCACTCCTCGCCACGCCTCTCTATGGGGGTAGTGGGGTGAAAGGCGCCCTAACCCTGCAGTCCCAGAGAGAGGGACCAGGAGCAGCTCAGTCCTGCCTTCACCCGTTCCAAGTGCTGTAATTCGTCGAATTCTGGGTCTCCACATGATCCCAAGGGCGTCTAGTTTCCACCCCGACCCAGCAGCGGGTGGGGAGGGTTAGTGACAGGAGAAGGCGACTCAGGAAATGAGGTGGGAGAGCCCCCGTGTCAGAGAGGGTCGCTGAAGGGTCCAGGCCCTAACCCGGGGCCCCCACCCATCCCCAGCTGACATCATGCATCCACGCGTCCTGCGCCCTCCTGTACCCCATGCGCTGGGAGCACGTGCTAATCCCCACGCTGCCACCGCACCTGCTGGACTACTGCTGGTGAGGGGCGAGGCCTGGGAGGCAGCAGGGTTGGGGAGGAGGGCTGGGGTCCTGGGGATCTGGGGGCAGCACCTGCATGACCCGCCCCCCTCAACTACCCACAGCGCACCCATGCCCTACCTCATCGGAGTGCACGCCAGTCTTGCCGAGGTGAGCGGGAGCACACCTGGTCCACGCAGGTGGCAGTGAGGCCGGGAGGGTGTCGGGACCCCTTCCTCTGCATCCCCAGATACCCTTCCCCGCCAGGAATTCCTGGGTTCTGAGCGTCTGCTCCCCAACACAGAAAGTTCGTGAGAAAGCCCTTGAGGACGTGGTGATGATGAACGTGGACTCCAACACCTTAGAGACCCCCTTCAACGACGTGCAGGAGCTGCCCCCAGAAGTGGTCAGTGTCTCCCTCCCACCCCTGTGCAAGCGTATGGGAGGCGTAGTCCTTGTCCTGCCGCTCAGCCTCCGCTCTCTCCCCCTGGTCCTCCAGGTGTCCCTACTGAGGCTACAGCTGAGGAAAGCCGCCCTGACCCCCGGGGAAGGGGTGTCCCGTCTCTTCCTCAAAGCCCTGGTCCTGCTCTTTGGGGGCTACCGAGATGCTCTTATCTGCAACCCGGTGAGCAACGGAGACCCTGAGGGAGAAGACTCGGGGCTTGCCCAAGGGAGTCAGAATAATGCCACCTGGAGTCTGCAGAGTGCTGACTCTGCTTCCACTTGCTCCTTGTGAAAGGAATTCTCAAAGCTGTTGTGTCCCCATTTTACACGAGGGAAAAACAGGGGCTTCTTGGAGAAGCCCCACAGGGGTTAATATTGAAACTGGAAACTGGACTTGGACCTGACTTTCAACAACACACACCTGAGTTTTTTTCCAACTTTTCCAATCAAAACTTGGGGGGAGGGGTCCATCCCTTGAGCGGTGATGTGCCTTGACAGCACATCCAAAATCCGCCCATGCCTTCCCTTCCTCTATCTCCATCCCGGTCTGGCCCCCATTATTGCTCGTTGGACGGGTACACTGGCCTCCCCCAGGAGTCCTCTCTCCTGAGCTCCCACTCCCATTGCCCAGCCTGTCCTCCCAGCGGGGCTGAGAGGTCACTCTGCATGAGTCAGGTCCCCCTCGACCTCAGCTCACAGGCCTCCCAGGGCTCCGCCTCCCTGGGACCCACGGAGCCCTGCACAAGATGGGGGACACAGAGGTGCTCACTCAACATTAGATAGATCTATGGTACAGTGAGGAGGCAGCTAGGATGAGAGCACAGACAGCTAGGTCTTTCTTCCAGGGCCAGCCTGTGACCTTCAGCGAAGAAGCCTTCTTGGCCCAGAAGCACGGGGCACCCCTGCAGGCCTTCCACCAGAGGGCTGTGCACCTGCAGCTGTTCAAACAGGTGTGTCTGAGCCTGAGGGAGAGGCCGGGGCGGGGGGGGGGGGGGGGGGGGGGGAGGGGGGGGGGGGGGTATGTGTCTCTGAGGGTGGCACTAGGGCTGAAGGGGTGGACCCCTGAGTCCTATGGGTGAGGCTATAGAGGGTCCAGTGGCACCCTCACTCCAAGTTCCCCAGAATGGAAGAAGCAGGACTCAATTCTTAGTCTCGAAAAATGGGAGCCCCTGACCTGAATTTGTGAGGAATAAGATCTACTTCTAGGTCCCTGAGAAGATGGATTGGGACCAAATCCTCAAGTCCCCAAGGGGCTTAACTTCCTGGGTCAAGGTGGAGGGGACTGGGGTGGGGGAAGTGGGGCTGAATTCCTGGGTTCTTGGGAGAAGGCAGGCTGGTCTCCAGGGCCCCTCGGGGCAGGCTTGGGTCCTGGGTGGGGTCCGCCCGTTCCAGGGTCTGAGGGGCAGTCTGACGACCACATCCCTGTGATGGAGTCTGGTCCCTGAGAGGGCAGGGAGAGGGCTGAGGCCGGCTTCCTACCCCCAGGTCCTGAGGATGGGTCTCTGGAGGGGTGAGAATTGCTCCTAAACCTCAAAGACGAGCAGACTCCTGGACCTTGTTTCGGATGGGTGGGTGGCAGTCTCGCATCGGACTCACTGTCTCCCCCCACCCCCCACTCCCAGTTCATCGAGGGCCGCCTGGAGAGGCTCAACACGGGAGAAGGCTTCTCAGACCTCTTTGAGCAGGAGATTACTCGTGGCGGGTCCTCCTCAGGTGAGCCCTGTGCCCCAGGGGCCCCACACCAGCCCCCTCATCCTGAGCCATCCTGCCAAGACCACTCTCCTGTTCTAGGAACCCTGCGCTCCTACCAGCTCTGGGCGGACAGCCTAAAGGTAACAGCCCCCAGCACCTGCTCAGTGTTAATTCTTGGACACATTTAATCCGCAACAGTCCCCAGGCTGGTTTGTAGATAGAGGCGAAGAAATGGAGACTCAGGGAGGGAAAGGGACTCACCCAGCCCCACACTGTCCGGGGTGGGGAGGTAGCATCTGGGGTCACCCTAGGGGCCTAAGCAGTGACCTCCCTTGGCATTTTCTCTCTCCAGAAAGGTGGCGGTGCCCTCCTACATTCGGTCAAGGCCAAGACCCAACCAGCCGTGAGGAACATGTATCGCTCGGTGAGGCTGGACTAGACAGGCCACTTGTGGGAGTGACAAAGGCAAGGAAAGAATATGTCAACCCCTCGCGGTGGCAGACATTTTAACCCCAACATTTAAAGTGCAGACACTTTATCAGAACTGAGCCAGTGGTTAAGCCATTAACAATTCTTCCCACTTTTACTTTCCAATCACCAGACTCATTGTCAGCATCATTTTTTTTTTATTTTTTTTACTTCTCAGCATCATTTCTTTCCCATTTAACATTGACAATCAAGACGGATTGGTGAACATCTTTTGTCCTCAAACATTACAATCATTTTTTGCAGCTTAGAATTGTTGATTTCATTTTATTCTTTGCTCAGCTTTTGAACACTGACACATTTGTATGAGTTTTTTGCCACTTCCTGTTTCATATGGGGACTATTCCTTTTTATATGTTAGTCAAAGGGGTGAGCGCTTGTATGACCTCACACATAGTGCACAGGGAAGTGTGAATATACTTGTAAGACGCAAACATGAACACATGACAAGATGAAGCTGGCCTAGAGGATGGAGGGCAAGGCTCCTGAATGCCCCTGGTCAAGTCACCCTCTAATTCCTCTTTGGCTCCTCCACAGGCCAGGAGTGGCTTGAAGGGTGTGCAGAGCCTTCTGATGTACAAGGTAAGACCAACAGCCCAATGCCTGGAGTGGAGGGGAGGGGCTCCTGGCTCATCCACCCACTTCCTAGGATGGAGACTCTTGCATGAAGAGAGGGGGCTCCCTGAGAGTCCCCAGTCTCACCAGCCGCTCAGATCGCCTGCAGCAACGCCTGCCTATTACCCAGCACTTTGGACAGGTAAGACTGTGTCCCTACCACCAAGGTACACACCTGGATTGATCACAGAGCCCTCCTCCCTCACTCCGTTTCCATCCAGATATCTTTCCCTTCAAATACCCAATATTTGGTGCCGATTTCACACTCACCCTCCTTCTGAAAATCCCTGATTGTGTAGCTCCTGAGGTTCCACCCTCAACCCCCCAAAATCTCTCCTCTGCAGAACCGGCCCCTTCGCCCCAGCAGGAGACTCCTACTGGAAGACAGACCTTCGGAGTTCCTGGGGGAACAGTAAGGCTCAAAGGCGGGAGAGGGCAACACAGACGGGGGAGTGGTCCCTAAACCTGAGCCTCCAGAACACCTGGGCCACGACTGGTAGTCTCGGGCAGATAGTTGACATTGCCCATCCCTACCCAGGACACCCCCAGTGAGCCGTGAGGATGCCCCAGATTCATGGGCAGAGGACGCTCTGGACAGCAGCTTCCTGGGATCTGGGGAAGAACTGGATTTGCTGAGTGAGATTTTGGACAGTCTAAGCACAGGAGCCATGAGTACACGCAGCCTGCGTCCCAGCCAGAGCTTGGACTGCTGCCATAGCGGGGGCCTAGACAGCTGCTGCAGCCTGGTGAGAGCCCCCAATCCCCCCACTTGCCCATCCTACTTGCCAGCCCTTCCCTTAGCTAAAGCCAGTAACTTACCCATCTCCCAATCCTACCCCAGCCGGACATACCAGGAAGACCAATATGGCAACCAGATGACGAGGAAGCACTAGAACCCCAGACCCTGTCTATGCCTGCCAGCCTTCCGTGTCTGCAGACCCTCCAGCCGTTGGATACCACACTCTCCTCAAAGAACCTCACTTCTTTGCTTCCCTCAGAGGCCAGCCAAGAAATTATTTCTCCATCTCAGTCTTCATCTGTAGACCCAAGCAGCCAAAGGGACCCTAAATTCTCTCTCCCTGAGCCCCAACCCCTAATCCTACATCTCTCCCCTCCCCACAACGTAGCTGAAGATCCCAGAGCACAGGAGAGCCCCTGCTCCCAGCTCTCCACAACACAGAGCCACCCAGAAAGCCACCAACTTCTGGCCGTGACAGAGCCCGGATTGGATATTAACTGGACAACCCTTGATTCTTCCTCAAGTTCTGGCTCCCCAGAGCTCCCCAAAGCTCAGTCTTCTAAGGTTCTGCTAGCAGAGAATGTTCACTTCCAGTCCCTGGAGGGGTGGGAAACCCCCAAATCTCCTGCTGCACCCACAAGCACCTGGAAGGAGCCCCAGGCCAAGAGCCAGCCCAGAGTTGCTGAGCTTAAAAAGTGTTTTGAAGGTTAAGGATCAGAGGTCTTCAGGAGACCCCAGGCCTTCAATAAAGCCTCAAGAGCCCAAGCCTGTTTTTTCCTAGTGAGTTTATATGGGGCCTCTATCTGCTCAAAAACCCGCTTTATCCATCACCTTCCCTCCTGGGGCAGCCTCCAGCTGGCTCCTAGTAACACCAAAAAGTGGCTCTCTTCCAGAAAGTTCTCCCCACCCCTAGGACCCTTGTAAACTTATAATTCATCTCTCAACAGTCTATGAGCCCTGCATTTACCTCCTCTATCCTGCCCCCACCAGCTCAAAAAAAGGCTTTATTATATTTCACCACCAATTATATATATAAAGTGAGCAGCACCACCCTCCCTCGCCCTAGGAGCAGAGTCTGTGAAGCACCTTCCCCTTCTATTATTAAGCACTGTGTGGGGCTGACTGCCCGGAGTGGATTCTGCCTTCTCCCAAGTTCCCACAGCAAGGAAGGGAGATGGATAAAGGGGACCTAGATGGGCAGGCATCCCCGCACCTTCTCCTTGGAGTCCTGGGGGGCCCGGGCCTCGGCTGCATGGGTGAACTGAAAGGAAAGGAAGAGGGAGTTGTCGGGCCCGTGCAGCAGCAGGACAAACGGCCGAGCGAAGGTGCTGCAGCAAGCGGGGAGGTGGATCCCCAGCCCCAGCACCCCCAAGTGCAGGCGGAATCAAGCAGAGATGGCATGCTTCGCAGAGCCCACCCAAGAGGTACCCCGTGGCCCCCCAAGTCCTCCTGAACCATCAGAGGCCGGTGTCTCGGTGGCAGCTGCTGTGTGTGAGCGCACGCCGGGCGGTCCTGGGCAGTGGTGGCTGCTGCGGCGGGCCCCAGAGTTCAGATGAGTCGCTCCTCAGGTGGGAGCTTGAGGTTGGGGGGCGGTGGCGCGCGGGCACCCACCTGCTCCTCACTGCTGGGCCGGTAGGTACCCTCTGTCTGCCGCTTCTCTCGAAGTTTTCGCACCAGCAGTGCCAGCCCCACAGCAAGAAGCAGGGCACCCAGGAGGGAAAAGACCACAATGATGGCGGTGATGGCCCCCGGAGACTGCAGGAAAGGGGATCAGTGTGACGCTCCCTCCTTGGAGGAGCTGATCTCCCCCTAGACCTCCCACATGAAAACCATGTGGATTCCTAATCCCCATCGTCATGCCCACCACACGCACACATGCGCGCTCACCCCCCACTGTCACTTTCAGTCATCTGGTTCTTCCACCCAAATTCCTGATCCCCATGGAACACATCTGGGGCTCCCAGACTCCCGCACCAGCCATGTCTAGGATCCCCCTCCCAAGCACCTGCCTCATTCAGGCTCCTACTACTCTCCTCCCCATGCTGGAGAAGCATGAGGGACTCCTGCCCCCCCCACACTTGCTGTGTACAGTATTCTTATCCATCCCCTTCCTCAAACTCCCTAGTCTGGGGCCCTGGATCTCCCTAGTTGCCATTTTGGTATTCTGGTGTCTGATTCCTCCCCCCAACCCCAGCCTTCCACTTCTGGGGGTGGGGATGCTCTGTGTCCCTTCCACCTGCTACACAAGGAACTGCAGAATAGCATCCCTGCTGCCCCCCTCCCACATATACCCCCAACTTACCAGGCCCCCATTAGAGCCAGAGCCTGGGTCAGGGGGCGTAGTGGTGCTATTCTCCTCATTTGCACGGGGGTCCAATGCTGTGGAGCGATGATGGGTAGAGAGGATAAGTGAACCCCCACCTATATTCTTTGCACCTCATGCATCTGCCCCTTCCTGAGGCGTACCCTCTCTCATCTAGAGCTCTGCCCTCCTGAGTGTTCATTCTCATAAAGATTGTGGGTACAATGCTGAAAAACCAGCCAGCTGATTGTGCTCCCACCAGCCCAACAGAGCCCTGCCCGGAGAAACCAGCAAAGAGTACTTTGCAGTTTTGCTTGCGATGGGGGCTGTTACAATAAGGTTCCGGAAGACCAGCCCGCCCTCCTTCCCTTCCCTTCCCCCCCTCCCCTCCCCCAGGGCTCAGCCCTCCTGCGGGCCTTAAGGATCTGGGCGGGTCCTGCCTTTTTCCCTGCAGTGTCTGACTCACACCTCCCCCCAGGCTCCCGAAACTGGAATATAAGGCCCACACCTAGGGCCCACCTGGTCAACCTGTGTTCGGAGCCCCCAGGCAGGGCTTCTCCTGGATTTCCGTCGGTCCAAAACACCTCAATTAGGAGGTGCACTCAGACTCACTGTTCTCTCCACCCAGCTCACGATCCCTCCCGGTTCAGGAACCCAGGAATTCTCCTGACCAACTCCCTCGGTCCAAAAATGGCTCAGAACTCTAAATCCCCAGCCTTGATCCGTAGACGCCTGCCCCGCTTAAGTTATGCCATGCCGACCCCCAGTTCCTGACCTCTCAGGGTCCCAGGTATCCAGCGCTCCTCGGGCCCGCCCCCAGCACCCTCCCCCACCCCCCACCGGTACCTACTTAGCCCCCAGACCTGGCCCCAGCCGGTCTGCAGCAGCTGCAGGCCGAGGGCGAGGAGCAGCCCCAGGCCGGGGCTCGCCATGGGCCGGCGACGTGCTGGTGGCACCCGGGACCCGGCTTCTCGCGCGCGCCGTTCCTACCGCATCTCCGGCCCGAGGTACCTGCGACCCGGCACCTGGGGACGGGAGGAGAAAGGCCGGGTCGTGGGGGAGGCGCAGGCCCAGAGGAGGGGCACCCGTGCCAGGGCACCCCGGAGTCCCGCCCCGCCCCCGCCGTCAGAGTTCAGAGATTAAAGATTAACTCCGGGCGGGGGCGCGTTCTTGTGCTGGAGAAAGGGAAGAGGGGAGGGGGCGGCAGGTGAAGCCACGCGTCTTATCTCCTTACCTGCCCCGGGAGCCTTCGACTTCGCTCAGGTTCCCGCCCGGGCGCCTCGCTCGAACCCTCGAAGAGTCCGTCGGTCGCCCGGTCGGACTCCACCAGCTCCTCCCGCTCACGTGACCCGGAAAGTTTAGTCACTTACCTGAGAGGGGAGCGCACTTCCGGCCTGTGCACCTGAGCCTAGATGAGAGGGCGGAGTCCCGCAGGGGGCGGGGCGGCGCAGGAGGCTTACCTGTAACGGGAACCCAATCCAGTAAAAGGAGGAATAAAACGGGGTGGAAGCGCGCAGGTGCAAGAGACTTCCCACCTGTATTGCGGACACAGCTGTAGGATCGCACAGGTGTAGCGACGCACCGCGCCGGTGTTTGGGTGCTCCTGTCTGGGGGAACTCTAATAAAGAAAACCTGTGTGTATACACCTGCATGGTTTCAAATCTGTACAAAAGACATATGCACGGATACATAAGAAAAACAACTATAGGAGACAACTGCATTGAATCACACCTGTTTGGTGTAGACTGAATAGAAGCATACGTGTGTAGAAAACTGCTATATCGAATACACCTGCATCATACCAAACACCTGGTTGAGGGACTCTGGTATAGGGTACACCTGTTTGGGAAGTGAATCTACATGGCTTACTTATGACACGAACAACACTTGTATGAGGAATTGCTGTGTGGAAATGTATTGGAAATACCTATACGAGACATGCCTGCATTTAAGTACCCCTGAATGGGCCCCAGTTGTATGGAAACAAATCCATATGGGTGTATATATAAATGGAACACACTCAGAGGGGGTCTATATAACACGTCCCTGGATAGAGGAACACCTGTTAAGAAACATGCCTGTGAGGTGAAGGAAGCGGCCTTGTCTGAAGGACATCTGCATATAATTGAACTCAAAGGAGAGGGAAAACTGAGAACATCAGCCTGGGGCACAATCCCATTGAAGCACATCTGGCTGAGGGGGGCACCTGGTCAGAGGCTCAGGTGTACAGAGGCTACCTGTCAGATAATCAGATGCATCTGTGAGAAAACATTTGTTTGGGGCATTTCTGTGGGAAGACATCTGTATCCCCTTTGCTGTAGAGCACCGACAAGAACCATCTTTGAATGATAACATCTCTTAGAATACCCTCCTTCTCTTCTTTTTTTTAAAGATTTATTTATTTATTCATACAAGAACTGGGGCAGAGGCCAGAGGTGTGGGGGTTGAGAGGATTCACCAGAGACAGAGTGGGGAGCAGAACAGGTGGACTGACTGAAATACACTGCTGAGGGGAGCAGCGAGCGAGTCAGGAGAGGTCTGCTGCACCGTGTGGATTTCTCCCTGGCCGGGGATCGAACTCGTGCTGCAGAGGCTGCGGACAACTTCATAGGTTGCATCTTAACCCCTTGCACCACCAGGGAGGCCCAAGAGGCTCCTTTTCTGGCACACACCTTCCACAGCACACCTGTCTGAGCAGAGCTGAGTGGGAACCAAACGTACCCTTAGGGATATATCCTGTGCTGAAGAACGATAATAACACGAGTCCCTCCTGGAGTCTGTAGGGTGAAGAGTGATGGCTTAGGGAAAATTAATCCCTTCTAGGGTATAGAGTGAGGGGTAAGAATCCCAGGTTTATTTAATCCTTGCAGGGCATGTGGACGGGCGAGAGCACTTAACCTCCGGTTTCCTCACCTACCTTATAGGGTTTGGGCGAGGAACACACAAGAGGTGAGTAAAAGGTCTGGCATGTGCAACCACTGAATCAAAGTTAGCTATTGTTATTATTCACTGTCGAGTGGCCTGGGTACGCCTCCCCCTAATGGTGAAAGGAGACACTGCGCCCGAAAACTAGTGGGAGGGCCCTTGGGCAGGTGCAGCGAGCGCGTCAGGCTGGGGCTCCGCCTTCAGCGCTCGCCTACCGGGTCCTCATGCCCCGCGGGGGCCGGGACCCTGCGACTCCGGGACCGGCGGGCGCAGTACGGAGCCGGCAGTCACTCCGGCCCAGGAACCCAGCGGCGGCCTCTTTAAGATGCCGAGCGCGCCCTGCACGGATGGGCCCCGGACTGCCAGGGTCGGCCGACAGGCTCCGCCCCGGCGGGTGGGCGAGGCGGGGCGGGCGGGCGCCGCTCAGGAGCCTTTGGCCAATAGGAAACCGACTTTGTTGCTGCGCCGTGCGTTGATCTTCCGTTTCCCGGTCTGAGTGGGGCCGAGAAAGGCGGGTGCGGGCGGGATAAAGCGAGCAGGAGAGCGGGCGCGAGCGCACCGCGCCTTGATCATCTGTTTCTGCGGCCGAGCGGGGAGTGCGAAATGGGCGGGCGGGCAGGTGGAGCGCGGGACGGCTCGGGGGTCGGTCTTGAGTTTTTACCTGGGGGGGGGGGGAGCGAGATCCTTAGTTCCTAAAGGGGATTCCTAGGGGAGGGAAGGCAAATGCAAAGGGCTTATGACAGCCAATCCCTGCTATTTCCTTACTTTGTCCCTATGGCCATAGGGTAAACTGAGGCACAGAGGCGGAACTCAGAAACCAGAGCCGAGACCACTGACCCCGCTGGCAAACGCTCCTCCCAGACTGAACCCTTTGCCCTCTAGGTTGTGCAATGCCAGAACATCCCCGACATCCCACCCCCCACGCACCCCAGCTCCGCCCCCAGCCCCCACCCCTCTGCGGGCGGGGGGAGGAGACTCAAGTTCTGGCGCGGGCGGCGACGGCTAGCAGTCACCGCCTCTTGCCGGTGCCAGAGCCAGACGGGCAGCGCGGAGGCAGCAGTGGCAGTGGCCGCGGAGCTGGCCCTGCGGGGCCGCGGGGGGGAGGGGGAGCCGCGAAGCCCCCGCTGAGGCCGCCGCAGCCGGGCCTCCCTCCCCCCCACCCCCGGCGGGCGCCATGCGGGGGGGTCCGAGCGATGCCGAGCGGCGGCAGCGCTGGGGTCGCCTCTTCGAGGAGCTGGACAGCAACAAGGATGGCCGCGTGGACGTGCACGAGTTGCGCCAGGGACTGGCCAGGCTGGGCGCGGGCGACCCGGACCGCGGAGCCCAACAGGTACCCCCGCCCGGAGCCCCCGCCGGGAGCGCTGCGCTGGGGCCCAGCCCGCAGCCGGTAACCCGAGCTCCTGAATGGAGCGCCCGGAGCTGTCAGGGACTGCCTGTGGCTGGACACCAGGATTTGGACCAGCCTGGGAGGCGCTATCCCCGTGCCCCTGCCCGCCCGTGCCCGGGCCTAGCGGGCTTGCTCGGGGTAGTGCTACTGACCCCCAGGCCTGCAGCTCCGCTTCCAACACCCAATTCTGTACACTCCTCTATACTTTGCCCCCCATCCCCCTCCGCGGGGGGATGTGTGCCAGGGAATAGAGCCAGGTTGATATTCTGGCCACTGAACTGGACACACTTTCTGCTGAACTCTGCCCAGCCCAGGACCTGCCCTGCTCCCGCCTCCTGGATTCACACGTCCACACCCTCCACTGGGTACCCACTGCCCTCCCAGCCAGCTGCCCCAGCCGCTATGTTTACATTCCCTGGCCTGCCCTTTCCAGGGCTTGGCTCAATGCCCCAGGCCCAAGCAGGGATCCCATCTAGTGTGACGCTCCCCTCAGCTCAGGGTACACCTGTCAAAGGAGGAACTTGCCCCTGAACCAGGCAGGTATGTCCCACATTTGTAGCCTCAGATGCCACTGGAGTATTTCCACAGCATCGTGAGACCTCCAGTCTAATCTCCCACTTACCAGATGGGAAAGCAGAGGCTGCTGAGCTTGCATCTATCATTGTCCCATGTTACCCAGAGCTATCTCTGACAGGCGCTCCTAAAACTGCTATGTGGACAGGTTTTTGTAAGAGACAGCTGGAAGGACAGGCTTTCAGGGACAAGCGCCCAGGGCTACCTTTCACTTCCCAGCCCTGTAACCTTGAACGAGTTATTTGACCTTGGAGAACTCAGTTTGCTCACCAGGAAAACTGGACAACTGCCGGCCAACTCACAACCTACTGGCCTTGGGCATCTTGCTGATTGAAGGAGGGTGATTTCCTCTGTCTCTGGCGTCTAGGCCCTAGAGGCCGTAGTTCCTGGGGCACAGCTAGTCGCACCCCTTCCAGATTGGGCAACAGCCTCCTAGAGCTCCATGTGTCTCTCCCCCCCTGCCAGGGCATCTCCCTTGAGGGGGACAGTGACCCAGATGGCGGGCTGGACCTGGAGGAGTTTATCCGCTACCTGCAGGAGCGGGAACAGCGCCTGCTGCTTCTGTTCCACAGTTTGGACCGGAATCAGGATGGTAAGGCCCAGGGACAGGGCTGTGCCTGCCTCCCCCCACCACCACCACCCCACACACCAATGGGGTTAGAACTGGCAGAGCTAGGAGGAGGGGGAGGGCCGATTTTCCCTGATGACTCACAGGCTATTTTGGGAGCTCTCCTTACCCCCACCTAGGTGGTTTGAGGCTCAACCAGCTGATCCCACCTCCTTTTCAATTCCCTGGTGGGACCCCCTTAGATTTTTCTAAGGGGCAAAGATTTCCCCCATAGTGCTCATGGATTCCCCATGGGACAAAGACCCCTCCCATAGCATTTGCTGGATCCTCATTTTGCCTTTTGATCCCCTGTGGCATAGGATCCCCCACAATTATCTAGATTCATGTATTCTTTCATGAGAGAGGAACCCCCAATATTGCCCAGTTCCATCTCTCTGATCCCAATGGGGTAGGGCAGCTCCCAACCATGTCAAAACCTCACCCAGGGTTGCTAGATCCCCTGGCTTTGCTAGACCAACCATTCCCATTCCAAGCTGTCCTGCTTCTCAGTCCCAGCATTGCCTAGAGTCCCCACACACACCCTTCCCCACCTTGGGTCCCCTCCACAGGTCATATTGATGCCTCTGAAATCCAGCAGAGCTTCCGAGCACTGGGCATTTCCATCTCACTGGAGCAAGCGGAGAAAATTCTGCACAGGTGAGTAGCTCGATGTCCCAAATCCCAGGCAACTCAGATCTGTGGGACCCTTCAGCCACCTTGAGCCCCTGAACCCAGACCTAGTCCCAGGGTGGGTGTAACTGAGAATTTGGCCTTTGGAGTCTGGCAGATCTTGGGGCAGTGGCTTCTCCTCCCTGAGCCTTTTTATCATCTGTAACATGGTGAACTCTCGGTGTAGAGAAACTGTCATTGTCCCACCCCAAACAGAGCACACCCTCAGTCCAGCCAACCCCCAGTCCCAGGCACTGATTCTGTCCCACCTACCATTCCCCCCCAGCATGGACCGGGACGGCACGATGACCATTGACTGGCAGGAATGGCGTGACCACTTCCTGTTGCATTCATTGGAGAATGTGGAAGATGTGCTATACTTCTGGAAACATTCCACGGTGAGGTGGGAGGGCTTTCCCATGGGGGACTGCTCTGCTTCCCCAGGGCATGGAGGGGCTGATTCAGGACTCTCTAGAAAGAGGTGCCACTGGGAGCACCTCCCTTCCTCCATTTGGGAATCGGGAGACTTGGGAACCATTTGGGGAAATCTCTGCTCTCTGAAGCTCTCTGACTGGAGCCCTTCCACCTCCTGCTGGACCCCTGGGGATAGGTTGGGGGTGTTGGGAGCACAGAGTAGAAAGAACTCACCAGATGAGACACCCGGCCTCCAACCCTCCACCCACACACACGGCTCCACTTCTGCTGGTTTCTGTCTGCCTCATTAAAGGATACTGCTGCCGAACAGACAAGTTAGAAAGGCACTGTCCTCAGAAGATCCCACAGGATCCAGAGAATTTGGGGGGGGGGCTGCTCTAGATCACCAGTTTATGGGTGAGAATCCCTGAACAATGCTTCTAGTAGTATCTGCAGGGGGATTCACCGGTGGAATCTGGTGAGAGCCTCTTGGGAGATCCAGAGATTTCCCCACCCCCCTGGGGAATGCATGAGGGCTTGGTTGGGAAGTCTAAAGAAGAGGGATGAACCCCATGGAGGAGATCACTGTGGGACCAAGATCCTCTGGGCACAACAAGTTGGTCTACTTATATGAGAGATCTCTGGACACATCTTGAGTGACCCTGGAGGGATCTTCTGGAATCCTTATATGGGAGACCCTTGAGTGGGATCCTTCAGAGAGACCTGATTGACCTTGGAGGGAGCTTTATGGGGTTGATGCTTGGGTAGAATCCTTTGATAGGGTTTGGTAGAGATCCCCAGGAAATCTGTTGAGATCTTATTGGGGTGACCACTGAGTTGGATGCTTTGGTGGGATGTGGTCTGGTCTGAGAGGAATCTCCCATACTTTCCAAATGATGTTCCTTGTGGGGGCCTCTCTGGGTGGCCCTGGGTTTCACAGGGGAGATGCCTCATTTTGAACAGGGTCACATCACTATGCCGTGATACTCCAACCCCTGTGTCCTCAGGTCCTGGACATTGGCGAGTGTCTGACTGTCCCTGATGAGTTCTCAGAGCAGGAGAAGCTGACGGGCATGTGGTGGAAGCAGCTGGTAGCAGGTGCAGTGGCAGGCGCCGTGTCTCGGACAGGCACTGCCCCACTGGACCGCCTCAAGGTCTTCATGCAGGTGAGAGACCCTGGAAAGACTCATCCTCTCCTCCAGGCCTGGGCCCCAGAAGGGGACCCCAAAACCACCTTGTCTCCTCCCCTAGGTCCACGCCTCCAAGACCAACCGACTGAATATCCTAGGGGGCCTGCAGAGCATGATCCGAGAAGGGGGCATGCGCTCCCTGTGGCGTGGCAACGGTATTAACGTGCTCAAAATTGCTCCTGAGTCAGCCATCAAGTTCATGGCCTATGAGCAGGTGGGGTAGGCTCAGGGAGGGCTAGACATGAGGCCTTGAGGGATTGGCTTGGGAGTGGGGGGTGTCTGCAGGTCCCCAGGAGTGGGTGTCTGCCCCCCTGCATTATACCCACAGCAGGAAGTCAGTAAAGAGGGGCCTCAAGTGCACAGAAGGCTCAACCCCTGAGGTCCTGTCATCTCTGTGTCTCCCTCCTGCAGATTAAACGGGCCATCCGGGGGCAGCAGGAGACATTGCACGTGCAGGAGCGCTTTGTGGCTGGCTCCCTGGCTGGTGCCACAGCCCAAACTATCATTTACCCCATGGAGGTGAGAAGGAGGGGTCTGGTGGAGGCTCCATCGAGGGTGGGGAGGGGGGCCTGCATGAACCATTCACTCTGTGGGGTGCTCAGCATTGGGACTGTGGCTTTGCCTCTCCCTGGTTTGGACTGTGGCTCATTAGAGCAGTGCTGTTTTCTGGGTGGCCCGTCTATGTGTCACCATTTGGGATGTGACTTCCGGATATGGTGGTGTTGACTATTTAGAGAAATTGTGTGGGCCAGTCATTATAGGCAAGCCTCTCTGAGGAAACTGATTTCCAGGATGTTGGTTCTCAGGGTATCATTTCAAGGTGAAACTATTTCCAGAGAAATCAGGCATGTATAGTGCATCAGTTAGGACTGTGAGTGATGGAAAACTCAAATCACATGGCTGCAGCCTGGATGTGAGCAGCACTAGAGACCAAGGTCCTTCCCACTGTCTCCTTATTCTACCCTCTCAGTGTGTAGCATCCACCTCACAGAGCAAAATGACTGCTTCTGTTCCAGCCATCACATCCATATTCTAGCCTAAAAGGCAAACAAAGGAAGGAGCCCTCCCTGCCTTTATGGAGCTTTCTGAATGTCACACATACATCTTCTGTTTCATTGGCTAACTTAGTCACATGGCTACTCACCTAGAGAAGCAGAGAAATACGATCTTTATTTCAAGAAGCTGAGTGCTTGCTAACATAAATACTTCCTATTATTAAGGCAGTAAGTAACAGGATGTTGGGAAACTGCGGTGGCTGCCACATGCTCCTGACATAAGTAATAGCTTCTGGGATAGAGTCTGGGGATAGAGAGAGATTCTAGAGAAAGTAATCTTTTAATATAACCTCAGTCATGTGTGGCTTGATGACATTTCAGTCGACAGCAGACAGTATATGTGACATGGCCCTGGAAGGCTCTACGATTCAGCTTAGGTGTGTCGTGGGCTGGACCACCTAGGTTTCGTCATTTTGCTGTGACATTTGCAAACAATGAAATTGCCTGACAACATGTTTCTTAGCACATACCCCATTGTGAAGCCATTCACAATTGTATTCTTAGGGTATCTCCTTCCAGGGGTAGCTGTCTGGGTGTCTCCTTCCTGAATGTTGTCATTCTGGAGGCAGATTGTCTAGGGCTAACTAGATTCTCCTTAGGTGCTGAAGACACGGCTGACCCTCCGTCGGACAGGGCAGTACAAGGGCCTGCTAGACTGTGCGAGGCGCATCCTGGAGCGAGAAGGGCCCCGAGCCTTCTACCGCGGCTACCTGCCGAATGTGCTGGGCATCATCCCCTATGCGGGCATCGACCTGGCTGTCTATGAGGTCTGTGGGCAGCCCGGCCCCCCGCTCCCTCCCCCTCCTGGGATTTGCCTGCAGGAGACCCCTTTCCTGTGGGTCTGTCTCAGCTGACTCCCATAGCTAGGGGACTTATTGGTGGGATGGAGAAACACCACTGGGCTTGGGCTCCTGGCCACAGGCACTGGACTCCTGCACTTAGCACTGAGAGAAATTCCCATTTGCAGTTCAGCCTGCATGGGCTCAGGACACAGGAGAGTCGAGGCCCACCCCAGCTCACAGCATCATAGGAGCAGGGAACGCTGAGTTTCAAAGATGCCCATTTTCCCCAATGTGTATATCAAACCTGGCCCCTCTCTCCAGGCAAGTGTGTTCTTTAGCGGCTGCCATTACCCTAAAATGTGCATCTTTGGATCAGCATCTTTATTGGGAGAGGCAGGAACAGGGAGTTTCTGCTGTTCTCTGCCAAATAGCCTCAGCTATTCTTTTACTTTCACCAGGTTCTCCTAATTAGCATAGCCCTAGAGGCCCCCCAAAATCTTTGACTCTAAGACAGGGCCAACTTCATGGGCAGATGACCCGTGCTGGGTGTAGTGCTCTGCTGTCATGTCTTGAAATTCCTGATTATTTTAAAACAAGGGACCTCATACATTTCTATTCTGCATTGGGCCCTGAAAATTATGAAGCTGGTTATGATCTAAGAGACTCCATGCCTGCCATCCATCCCTGCCCTTCCAGCATCCAGCATCTACACAGCCAAATGAACCAGAGTCATCTCTCATTCATTTGTTCATTCATTCATTCACTCAGTGTCTTGCTTGCTTAGCTGTTTTTCACTAAGCATCCTCACATGTCGGGCATGGTGCTGGGTGCTGCAGCTATGGCATTAAATGGGACCAGTGCATTCCTGGAGGTGCCAGTGTTCCACTCACTGGGCCAGGAGGTCAGTGAGCCAGCAAATAAGATAGTTTCAGATGCAGATAAGTTCTCAGAAGATGATAAAACGGGATGTGTAATTGAATGTAACAGTGGTCAGGAAAGGGGGTTGTCTCAGAATACCTCTTAGAGGTGACATTGACTCTGAGTTAGGCATGTAACGGGAGGGGATGGGAACAAGCTAAAGGCACAGGGAAGACAAAGGTTCAGAAGCAGGAACAAGTTTGACTGGTTGAAGGCATGGGAGTCCTGAGGACAGGGGGATTGGAGAGGCAGCAATGACTCAGGGAGGAGGAGTTGAATTATCTCAGGTACAGCAGAGAGCATGAGAACATGAGCGGAAATGAGGTGCAACCTCATTTAATCCCAGTCTTCACCAAAAGAGAGAATCTGGAGGTCTGAGAAGTTTGAGAAAACCTGAGACCTCTTGGGGTTTCAAAATTTATGTTAGTTCCAGAAAGGCTCTGAGAAGTCCCGCAGAAAAATGATTTTTAATTTTTTTCTTACAAGATTTATTTATTTATGCATACATGCAAGAATGGGGTATAGGCCAGAGGTGTGGGGGGTGAGAGGGTTCAGAGTGGGGGAGCTGAACAGGTGGAAACAGAGTGGGGAGCTGAACAGGTGGATCTACTGAAATACACTGCTGAGGGGAGCAGCAGGCAAGACAGGAGAGGTCTGCTGCACTATGTGGGTCAGTACCCTGGCTGGGGATCAAACTCATGCTGCAGTGGCTGCTGATAGCTTGATAGCACTGAGACTTTAACTCCTGCACCACCAGGGAAGCCTGATTTTTAACTTTTTTTTTTTTTTTTAAAGATTTATTTATTTATTTATACAAGCACTGGGTACAGTCAGAAGTGAGGGAGGGTGAGAGAATTCACCAGAGCCAGAGCGGGGAGCAGAACAGGCAGAAGGACTGAAGTACACTGCTGAGGGGAGCAGCGGGCGGCAGGAGAGGTCTGCGCGCCATGTGGGACCCTCCTCCAGTGGCCGGGAGCAGCCGGGGATCGAACTGGCGCTGCAGAGGCTGCGGGCAGCTTTGCAACCCAGCGCTCAACCGCTGCGCCACCGGGGAGGCCCTTTAACTTTTTTTTTTAAGATTTATTTATTTTTATACAAGAACCAGGGTACAGGCCAGATGCACAGGAGGGTGAGAAGATTCACCAGAGACAGAGCAGGAAACAGAACAGGCAGACTGACGAAATACACTGCTGAGGGGAGCAGCATGCGAGACAGGAGAGGTTCTGCTTCGCCATATGGGGTCCTCGCCGGCCGGCCGGGATCGAACCCTTCCTGCAGAGGCTGCGGACAGCTTCACAGTGCGGCGCTCAACTGCCTGCGCCACCAGGGAGACCCTGATTTTTAACTTTTTTAAGACCAGGTTAACTAGACTTATGCAGTCATCAGAACCTCTTTCAATTGGACAACTCTTAAAATTCATTAAACATCTGTTTAACAAATGCTCCTTCAGAGGCAGAAAAAAAGGCTATTAAAATTGCCAAAGTAATAAAGATAAAACACTTGTTTCCTATTTGCCCATTCTGTCCCCAGGCCAGACATTACTAATACATCACAACATAGAGTTCCTCTCAATACAGTCCCAGCCAGTCATTACCAATGGATTAGAACTGAGTAGGGAATGAAATCTAGGAACCACCCCCATCCCTAAGCAATAAAGTAGGTCCTGTCTTTACAAAGGGCCTTGCAGAGGCTTCAGAAGGGACTGACCAAGTACATAGTTCTGGTCATAGATATGACTCTCAATGTTGATTTTCACCTTAATTTGTGACTTTGGGCAAGTAACTTCCCTTGAGCCTCTGTTTTCATCAATAAAATGGAGATAACAATAATATTCATCTTAGTTTGAAGTTTTAAAAAAATTTTTAAGGGGGCAATAAGACATGGAAGAGAAGGCAATCAAAAAAGGAGCATGGGAGACTCCCTGATGGTGCAAGAGGTTAAGACCCAACCTATGGAGCTGTCCACAGCCACTGCAGCATGAGTTCGATCCCCAACCAGGGGGGTGACCCACATGGTGCAGCAGACCTCTCCTGTCTCGCCCGCTGCTCCCCTCAGCAGTGTATTTCAGTTCTGTTCCCCACTCTGTCTCTAATGAATCCTCTCACCCTCCGCATCTCTGGCCTGTACCCCATCTCTTGTATGCATAAATAAATAAATCTTTAATTTAAAAAAAAAAAAAGGGAGCATGGAATAGTTTCCGAGGGCTGATATAACGAAGTGCCACCAACTAGATAGCTGAGAACAGACATTGTCTCAGTTTGCCAGGCCAGAAGTCCAAACCTGAAATCTGCGGGGGAGAATCTTCCCTGCCTCTTCCTAGCTTCTGGTGGTTGCCAACAATCCTTTGCCTTCCTTGCCTTGTAGCTGCCTCCCTCTGTCTCCATGTAGCGTTCCTCTCCCTGTGTCTGTGTCTTTCTTGTCGCTTCTCATAAGACAAGTCAAATTGGATTCAAGGGCTACCCTACTCCACATCATAACTCATGACTTCTGCTAAGACAGTGTTTCCTAGTGGTTTCCTTCCCAAGGTCCTGGGGGTTAGGACTCTGTCCCATGATGGCACACCATCAAAGTTGCCATGGTGGGCAGTGGCACTCAGTTCTGGAGGCAGCTCAAAACATGCCCACCAGAACATTGCTTGGGATTGATGCACCAAGTCAGCCCCAATGTTCAGAGTGGGGGTGCAAATTCTCCTGCACATCCTCTCCCCCCTCTGCTCTTGTGTGTTTAGCGCAGCCTTGTCTTGGCCCAGAGGAAGGCCTTGGGTTCGGCTGTGAGTGCCAGCCGTGGGAGTGGGCAGGTAGCTACTGAATGGTGAGGAAGAAGGTCATGCCCACCACGCGGGGCACATAAGCTTCCTGCTCAACAGTGACCCCAAATGAAGGGCTTAAAACAGCACCAACAGATTACCTTAGGAAGATCTTTAGGGTCTGGGTAGGCTAATATCAGGTGTGGGCTTGGCTGTGTTCCTTCTAGAGCTTCAAGGAGAAAACCTGTTTTCTTATCTTTTCCAGTTCCTAGCAGCACTCCCACATTCCTTCCCACATCTTTGTTTTTGTTGTTGTTTTTTAAAAAAGATTTAGTTATTGCCTTCTTCCTGAAAGCATAGCATCTTCCTCTCTCTCTCACACACACACCCTCTGCTTCCATCATCACATCTCTTTTGAGGGGCCTTGGAATGACATTGATCACCTGGACACTCCAGGATTATCTCCCATCTCAAGGTCCTTAACTTAATTCCATCTGCAAAGTCCCTGAAGCCACATAAGGTATTATGTTCACCGGCTGCAGGTAGCAGGGCATGGACGTCATTCCACATACCACAGAGGGCAGAGGTGAGGGCTGAGTGAGCAGATGCTGGCAAAGACCTTGCACAGGCCCTGGGAGGCACCAAGTACCCAGCTAGTACCAGCAACCATGGGCTATGGAGGCCAGCCAGTGGGAACCCTGAAACCAGGCTCTTAATGTTACTCACTTATACCCACCCCACTTTCTTCACCCCACCAGACCCTGAAGAACCGGTGGCTCCAGCAGTACAGCCATGACTCGGCCAACCCAGGCATCCTGGTCCTCTTGGCCTGTGGCACCATCTCCAGCACCTGTGGCCAGATAGCCAGTTACCCCCTGGCCTTGGTCCGGACCCGCATGCAGGCCCAAGGTGAGGCCTGGGTGGGCGGAGGGGTCAGGGTTGATCTCCCAACTTCAATCCCGCCTTCACCTTCCTGGCTTCTCCTCCTGGGTGGCAGAGTCCCAGGCCTGGCTCCTTGGGAATTTGGATGGTGTGGGTCCCCACTTTCTTTGAGCTCCCCTTCTCTACAGGTGATAGGATGGGAGCACTTTCCTGAACTAAGACAGCAGATTGCAATAGGTGCTGGGAGAGTAGCTCCCTGGGGATCTTAACTGGGAGGCGCTGTTGGCTTCTGGCCAGCATTTCCAGGCTGGTAACTTGAGCTCTAATTTGCAAGGCTGGGTTATATATAGTGAGGGGAAGGTTGAGGGGGGCAGGCCGCAGGTCAGACTAGTTCTTATTTTATTGTCTTTCTCTGTATTTTTCTTTTATGGGTTCTTTTATCTACCCTTCCCCCCCCCCCCCCCACACACACACCCTTATCGTTATCAGGAATTTTAGCATTTGTGTTACGTGATCTCTGCTAGGGGTGAGGCTGGGGGTGTTAATGCGTAAGACAGATGTGGCCCCTGTCCCCCTGTCCAAGTTCAGATGCTGGAGAGGAAGAAAGATGCCAAATAAATTGTTCCACAATTAAGTATGAATTTAGGATTGAATGAAGGGGAGAAGGAAGTGGTGGATTTTGATAGGGGACAGCCAAAGAGGGCTCCCCTGAAGAGTTAGCTTTGGAAAGGAGGTTGGAAGGATGAGAAAGCATTGGCTGGGAGAAGAGGGAGTTTCAGGGAGAGGGAATTCCAGTGCCTTCTCCCACTGCCTCCACACACGTATCTGCTCTGTTTCTAATTGTCCCCAAACTTGGGCCCTCCAAACCGGGTGGAAGAGGTGCGCAGCCAGTTTCAAGGCCAGGAGAAATCCTGACTCTGAGCAGGTCCCTCTTTTAGTCTCACTCTCCCCTGCTACAGTGGCCGCCCAGCCCAGCCCTAGACAGTAGGAGGAGGAAGTGAGGGGAGGAGTTTTAACCTTACCTGGCCTCCCCATCCCCCCCAGCCTCCTTCGAGGGTACCCCCCAGTCGTCCATGCTGGGTCTGCTCCGACATATCCTGGCCCAGGAGGGCGTGCGGGGCCTCTACCGGGGCATTGCCCCCAACTTCATGAAGGTGATCCCAGCTGTGAGCATCTCCTATGTGGTCTACGAGAACATGAAGCAGGCCCTAGGGGTCACGTCCAGGTGAGGGACCCAGAGCCCGCCCCCCACAAGATCCCTCACCTCAATCATGAGACCGATGGCCCAGCCAATGGATCCCAGGTTCCCTCTCACACACACACTCAAACCACAGGATCCCCACACTTCAGCCACTGGGTCCTGTATCCCCACATTCCAGCTACTGGATCCACATTGCCCTGCCCTGCCCACTGGGTCACGGACCTCCATGTCTTAACCACGGGGTCAATCCCAACTCAGCTGATCCTGATACTCCAACCACAGGAGCATATATCCCCACATCTAAGCACCCAGACCCCTCTCCCCAGACACCAGATCCAGTGTCCTTGTGCAACACTGGATCCCAGATCCACAACCCCACTGGCGGATCCCAGATCCCCATGCTTCCAGCCCTGGATCTCCACGTTCAGCCACTGGATTCTGGATATCAAGAAACCTCAGCCACCGGATCCTGACAGTGCAATGCCTAGATCCCAGGGCCCTGACCACTGGATCCCAGATCCCCTCACCCCAACCACTGGATCTCTGAATTCCTTTACCTCGACACTGCGTCCCAGATCCCTCTGCTTCAACTACCGGATCCCTACATTTCAACCACCATAACCTCAACCCCCAACCACTGGATCCCAGATTCCCAAGTTCAGACCCACTGGATTGTGACTCTTAAAAAATCATAATCATGAGAGCCCAACGGCAGAGCAAGTGGGTCCTGGCAACTGCAGCTGCTCCATCCCAAATCCCTTCACCACGGGCACTGGATTCTGAAACCTCACCCTTAGGAGGCAGCCCTGATCTTTTCAGGCACTGGATCCCAACCCCCGAATCCCTGGCTTCTGACCTGAGTCCCCCAGGCTTGAATCCCAAGCACTCAAACCCCAAGTCTAGATCCCAGTAACCCAGTCACAGCTTCCTAATCCAGCGAGTCCCCTCCTCCGCCCCCCACCCCAGACACACACCAGAGCCCAGACACCTCCCCACGACATTCACCCCATGGTCTGAGGAGCTGCAGGGAGCCCAGGTACTGGTCTCCTGGCTCCAGAAACCCTACGGGACATGTCTATTGTCCTGACGTGACAGGTGCCAGGCAGCATAGAGAGGAGATGCCCCTCCCACACCTGCACAGGCACTCGGTGCCCCCTCCACCTCCCAGCATGGCTGCACCTTTGGGCTCTGTGCAAAAGCTCCTCCTTCAAATTCATCCCCCAATGATTTGCAGGGTTCTCCGACCCCTTCTCACCTTGTAGGCTGATAACCCCACAGCCTGGGTCCCTCTGAAGGATCCAGTCATTCTTTCTTCAGGACTGGCAAGGAGGCAATCTAAGGCTGGGGGACACATAAGGGGACCCCCAACCCCAGCACTGCCAGCCCCTCTCTAGCCTTCAGAATTGGAAGCCAGAAGCAAATCTACACAGACTACTCTTCCCTAAACCCAAGCCTCCAATTATGCAAAGAGACAAACAAGCTAAATACCCCAAACTTACCCAGTCTATTTTTCTACCAGAAAGGAGCAAACATGCCCCCCTCCCCAACCAACCCACGCCTCCAGCACCCTGCCCGTATACATTCTGCACTTTATAGTTGGATGCTGAGCTTAGGGTAATTGGGGGACCCCTCTTGCCACTCCTCCCAAGTCCTTGAGGAAACCCCATTAAAGGTCCACCAAAGGAACTGGGATATTTGGGAGGCTGGAGGACACCCCCCCTAAGACTTCTAACTACCCCTCACCCCACCTCCCTGCCTGTGTGTGTTATTTCAAAGGAAAAGAACAAAAGGAATACATTTTCTAACCTCTTTCATTGTGGTTTTTACTCAAAGGGAGTGGGTGGATGTGGGACCACTGTACCCACAGAAAAGGGGTGCAGGTCATCCCCCACCACACACAATGCCAGGACACAGGAAATGACACCTTCTTGGGGCCTCACTTTGCTTCCTCCACTGTAGAGCAGGGACAGAGAGAAGTGCCTGTTTATCTTCTCTTTTTCCCTGTATTTTTTCTTATCATACAAGTACATCTATTTCCCAGGGCTGCAATAATTAGTTACCACAAAGAGGGAACTTAAAACCAACAAAATTATTTTAGATGAGTATGCTTTTATTGTGTAAAATATACAAAGCATAAAAATGGACCATGTGAAATATTTTTAATTGTACATTTCGGCAGCTTTAAATATACTGACACTATTGTGCAGCCATCCCCCTGCAGCTCCAGAACTCTCTCGTCTTCCCCAACTGGCACTCTGTCCCCATCAAACATTAAACCCCCCTCTCCTTCCCTGGCCCCAGCCACCCATATCTACTTCCTCTCTCTATGGAGGTGACTCCTCTAGGGACCTCCTATGAGGGGATCACACAGGATTTGTCCTTTGTCTCTTATGTTCTTGAACAGCATGCCCTCAAGGATCATTCACAGTGTCACTGGTGTCGGGTTTTCATTCCTTTTTAAGGCTGTATAATATCCCATCGTGTGGGTGGACCATTCTGTGTTTATCCTGTCTGTTCTAGGATCCTTGGGTTATTTCTAACCTTTTGAGTATCATGAATAAAAACATTCATTCTCATAGTTCCCGGGGTAGGCGTCTGAAATCAGGGTGTCAGACTCCCTCCGAAGGCTCCAGGAGAGCTTCATTCCTTGCCTCTCCCACCTTCTGCCAGTTGCCAGCAATCCTTGGTGTTCCTTGGCTTGTAGACCCATCACTCCAAATTTACCTGTCACCTTCTAAAGACGTTCCCAACAACTTGTGCCTCCTAGCATGCACTTGCTTGTTCCCCTCTCCTGCTCTGCCAACCTGGGTCTGGATACCCCAGAGGACACAGCAGAAGTGGTAGAACATTACCTCCGAGATCAGGGAAGAGAAGACACTGCTGTTACCATCTTGGTTGTGTTTTGAGCGGCTACTCTATAGTGGGGATCATTTGTTAGGCAGCAACAGCTGTTTCAATGACGGACAGCACACACAACAGAGGTCCCACTAGGTGGTACCCTTCAGCCTAAGTGCATAGTAGGCTATACTATCTAGGTGTGTGACATTCACATAATTCAAAATTGCTTCCCAATGTATTTCTCAGAACGTGTCCCCATCATTAAGCAACATACGACTGTACATAGCTACGATTTTCACATACCCAGAAGAAGGATCAAGCCTTGCTAACTATTTTGTATTTTATATCTTTTTTGAATCACGTCCTTAGGATCAATTCCCAGGAGCGGAATTGCTGAGTCTAAGGATAGCGCTATCTCAAAGTTGGGCCACCAGAAAACTTGTATGCAACATATAGCAGGTCCCTGAATAACACTGTTATTCATTGTAACATTGACAAGAAAGAAGAATCCCAACCAACACTGAACAAAAAAAAAGCTATTTGAGGGCTTGATTTCCTTATACATAGTTGTGCTTAAAGTGAATTTCCAAGAACCTTTCAAAAGTATTGCGGACATATTGTACGCAGCTACCAGTGAGGAACTGGCATTATCACTTTTACTGCAGCTATATCAGCATCAGTGTTACTTGAATGGGCCAGTTAACATGTGTTTTCTTACCCTAGATCTTCTATCCCATTATGCTATGTTTGGGATATGAGGTTCTATTGATGATGTGCAATGAGTTATCCAGACAGGCTGCCTTTGTTATCCTAAACCTTAGTTTCCCCACCCGCAAAATAAGAGGTGTTTCTGCTCACATCTTTAAAGGGAAAAGAACTTAGATTTATTGAGCAAGTACTATGTGCCCTTGTAACATGATAAGCCCTGTCAAGTATTATCTCCTTCACATTGTCTATTTGTCTAACACTTATTTTGCACCAGACCCAATTCTTACATGGGATACAGCAGAGCCTAAAACAGAAAAAAACCTCTGCTTTCAGAGGCCCTACTTTACTGTGGGGGGAACTAACAATATATAACATAAGCAAGTGAACACGCAGAAAGCAAAGGTGCTGTGGATAAAAATAAAGAAGGAGGATAAGAAATACCACAGTTTCGATATTAGAGTGGTGAGAGAAGGTCTCACACAGAGAAGCTGACATTTGAATAGAGATTTAAAGATAGTGAGATCGGGAGTCAAGGAGATGTCTAAGGGGGAAAAAATCTAGCCAGAGGGAGCAGCCAATGCAAAGGTCCCAGGGCAGGAACATGCTGGCAAGTTGGAGGACCGGAGAGGAAGGCTGGGGGAGAGAGGCGGTGAGGGCATGGAGGGTGCAGGGAAGATTGTGCAGGACTGTGGGGACAGGGGAAGGACTTTGAACTTCTACCCTGAGGGAGGCCGCAGCAGCCCAGGAGGGCAGTGGGCAGAGGCGGGGTGGGACGAGACTCACGTGCTCATGGGTGCCCTCTGGTGGCTACTGCAGGGAGCACAGGCTGGGCAGGGGCAGAGAGGATACGCGGGCAGCCAGATTCTGGATATATATTGAAGGTTGAATCTACAGGATTTGAAGACAGAGGGGAGGCATGAGAAAAAGAGAGGAATCAAAGATAACGTCAGATTTTTGACCAAAACAACCCAAAGGATGGAGTCTCTCCTTGGATCCTATTGACAACACTACATGGTAGTGTCACCATTTCCAGTTTCCAAATGGGGAAACAGAGCCTCCCAGTGGCGCAGCGGGTTGGGCGCAGCTCTGTGAAGCTGTCTGCAGCCTCTGCAGCGCGTGTTTGATTCCCTGCTGGCCAGGGAGCATCCTACAAGGCGCAGCAGACCTCTCCTGGCTCTCCTGCTGCTCCCCTCAGCAGTGTACTTTGGTCAGTCTGCCTGTTCTGTTCCCCACTCTGTCTCTGGTGAATCCTCTCACCCCACACACACACCTCTGGCCTGTACCCCAGCTCTTGTATGCATAAATAAATAAATAAATCTTTTTTAAAAAATGGGAAAACAGCTCAGAAAGGTAAAGCAGATACCACACAGCAAGAAGTGTCTGAGATGGAAATCAAACCCAGGTCCCTGTGACTCCAAACCTATGCCTGTCTTATTTTCAAGTCAACTTTTTTTTTTTTAAGATTTATTTATTTATGCATACAAGAACTGGGGTACAGGCCAGAGGTGTGTGGGGGGGGGGTGAGAGGATCCACCAGAGACAGAGTGGGGAACAGAACAGGCAGACTGACTGAAATACACTGCTGAGGGGAGCAGCAGGCGAGTCAGGAGAGGTCTGCTGCGCCATGTGGGTTTCTCCCTGGCTGAGGATCGAATTCGTGCTGCAGTGGCTGCAGACAGCTTCATGGTTGTGTCTTAACCCCTTGTGCCACCAGGGAGTTTCCTCAAGTCGACTGTCTCTTTCTTGGTAGAACCTTCTCATTCTCCACTCTGCCATCTGTCACTAAGACAATGAGCCCCAGTACATTTGCTGACTAGTGCACTGTAACAATGACCGCAAACTTACTGATTTAAAATAACACAAATGTGTTATGCCGAATGAAGGTCAACTCTGACATGGACCTCACAGGACTAAAATCAAGGTGTTGGCAGGACTGGCTGCTTCTGGAAGCTCTCGGGAGAATGCTTCCTGCCTTTCCCAGCTTCTAGTGGCAACCTGCATTCCATGGTTCTTGACCTCTTTTCATCTTCAAAACCAGCAAAGACCACTTGGTATTTCTTAGGTCTTATCACTCTGATGCAGACTGTTTCACCTCTTTCTTCCCCGTGTAAGGATTTATGAGATTACATAGGGCCTGCACAGTCCATTTAGAATAATCGCTCTATCTGAAAATTTAATTCCCCTTTTGCCAATGTAACATAACAAGTTGACAGGTTTCTAGGGATTAGGTGGCATTTGGGGAGAAGACCCTCACTCTGTCCACCATATTCATTGAGGTCACAAGAGCTTCTATGACCTCATTGTCCCCAGTACCAAATTTATAAGGTGGCCCTGCCACAGCTGCTGTAGGGACAAACCTCTCCCTGAGGATTTGAACCTAGTTGTCTTGAACCTCTAGCTCCATGGGAGCCCAACCTGAGGAGACTCAAAATTCTTGCTCCAGATTCCAGACCCTGTTTAAGAGGGTCAATGCCTTATTCACCAAAGCCCCTTCCCCACCTTCACTCACCAGCCCCTCCCCGGAACCCAGGCTGTACACATGTGTATGGCTATGTGTTTGGGCACGTGCGTGAAAATGAGCTAGAATTCCTCCCATCACAACAGGTGAGTTTGGAACCATGGGTCTCCCAGTACCTCCAGCCTGGACCACAAGGGGAAAAGGCAATGCTTCTCTCCCTTCAGGCAGACCTCCAATTCCATCTAGAAGTAGAGGGAACCAGGCTGGGCCTTTCACTTCAGCCTGCCTGGCTGAGTTGGGAAGGACTTGGGTCTGCACTGCAGGTGCTGGACACAGGAGAACAACTGATGGTCCCTGTGGATGTCCTGGAAGTAGATAATACAGGAACCCTGTGGAAGTTTCTGCTCTCAGGAGCCATGGCTGGCGCAGTGTCTCGCACTGGCACAGCCCCATTGGATCGCGCCAAGGTGTATATGCAGGTGGGTGGGGAGCACAGCCCTGGAGGCCTTGGGTTGGGATGGATGGAGGTGGAGTTGATGGAGTTCAGGGTGAGGATGGGGGTTGGCACAAGGATTGAAGTAGGGAAGCTGAATGGAGATGGGATAGAGTTGGAATTAGGGATGACAGTGGAGCTGATGTGGATGGAGCATGGAGTTCAGTAAGGGAAGGAGTTGAAGGAATGGAACCAGGGACAAGGTTAGGGTTGGGGGCTAGGAAATCAGAGATGGGGCTTTGGATGACTGAAAACAAAATAGGACAGAGAGATGAAAATGAGGGACGAGATGGTAATGAGGGTCGGTGTTAGGGTGAGTTAGAGAGTTCTAGGGCTAGTCAGGGAAGGAGATGGAGAAAAAATAGGGATGGGAGAGAAACAGGGTTGGGGACAGGACAAGTTTGGGCTCCAAACCGGGATGAGGATGGGACGGGGTGGAGGGGTCCTCACAGGGTCAGGGACACCCCACCCCCAGGTCTACTCCTCCAAGACTAACTTCATGAACTTGCTGGGAGGGCTCCGGAGCATGATCCAGGAAGGGGGCATCCGTTCCCTCTGGCGGGGCAACGGTATCAACGTTCTCAAGATTGCCCCTGAATACGCCATCAAGTTCTCTGTCTTCGAACAGGTGTGGCATGGTCCTGTCTCCCTAGCCCCACTCTCAAACCCAAACCCTTCCTGTAGTCCCACCTCCAAGTTCAAATCCTTATCCAAGAAACACACTGCCCACCCCCCACCCCGCCAGGTCCCATATGTCACCCCCTGGATGGGTTTTAGAAAGGAATATGGTTCGCTTTTCTCTCATGTTCCTCTCTCCTGTCCAGTGTAAGAATTATTTCTGCGGAGTGCATGGGTCCCCACCCTTTCAGGAACGTCTCCTTGCTGGCTCCCTGGCTGTAGCCACCTCCCAGACACTCATCAACCCGATGGAGGTAACAATGTCTGCCCCTTAGAAGATGAAAGGTAGTTGGCAGTAACTGCGAGAGCTTCCTCATTTCCTCCTCCTCCTCCCTCTGCCCCATCCCCCCTTCCTTCCTCTTCCTACTCCCCCCTTCCTACTCCCCCTTCCTTCTCTCGCCTTCCTTCTTCTACTTGTGAGAGATGTATCAAGTTTTATCCCAGCTGACTACCCAGGCTTCACAACACATCTTACTGGATGGGCCTCACCCTTTCCCCCCACAATGATCCAAGATGGCACCTTTATCGAATTTCTATATATTTTTTATTTCCAGTCTTTTTCTCCTCATTGCTCTGGTGTCTGTTCATGTGCCACTGTCTTCTAATTTTTTTTAGACTTTTTTAGACTTTTGTAAAGCAGTTTCAGATCTACAGAAAAATTGAGTAGAAAGTAGAGTCCCTATAGACCCCTTCCAACATTTACATCATTTGTTACAACAGATGCATCAATATTGATACAAAGTCATTAACTGAAGCCCATAGTTTACATTATTGGGCATTGTACCAGTCCATGGGTTTTGATAGATGTGTAACATGTGTCCACCATTATGGTATCATACAGAATAGTTTCACTCCCTAAACAATCCTGTGCTCAGCCGGTTCACCTCTCCCTTCCTGTTTTGCCTTCTCTTTTTAATTTCTGAGGCTTGATTTTGACATCCTTGCTCTTTTAAAATCTGTTTTCCAAGTTATCATCCTTTGTTGATTTTTCCATATAAACTTTAAAAGCAACTGTGTAGTTCAGAACACAAAATCACCTACAGGTACTTGTTTTTTTACTGGGATGGTATTCAACTCACAAATGAAGTTAGAGGTTATTGCCAGCTATATGATGTCTAGTATATGCATCCAAAAAATATTCCATTTGTTTAAGCCTTTGATGATGTCCTTTAATGGTCTTATAAATTGTCTTCAATATAATTCTTGCCCTCATCTGATTAAGTTCCTTCCAAAGTGTTTTGGTTTTTTATTGCTGCATAAAAAATAACCACAGACTCAGGAGCTTAAAATACTATCGATTTATTATCTCATTGTCTCTATGGGTCATGTCTGGCTAGTAGAATCCTCTGCTCAGGTTTTCATTAAGCAGAAATCAAAGTGTCAGCTGGGCTGCCAATAAATCCATCTGAGGTTCAGGTTCTCTGCAAACCTCCATAGTTGTTGGCAGGATTCATTTTCTTATGGTTGTAGGACTGAAGTCCTAGGCTCCTCGAAACTACCCATTGGTCCCTGCCATCTGGTCCTCTCCATAATAGTTTACTCATTTAAGATCAACGGGAGAGTGTGTGATGCTTCAAGCTCTCTGATTTCATCTGTCTCTGGCTCACCGGATTAGGCCATGCTCACACAGGACCATTTATCTTGCAACTTGGTCTGGTTTGGAGCCTTAAATGTATCGGCAAATCACCACTCTCCAATTTTGTCATATAATGTAACTTTAGCAGGGAAGTGATATCCCATAGCCCATGTTCAAAGACGGGGGGCAGGGGAGGCATCATTGTACAGAGTATGCAGCTACTATTTTAAATTTGGGGCACTTTGCAAAAATCCAATTTTTGGGCTGCTTTCAGAAAACTGGCAGACCTGGGCACCTAAGACCTGTGCTATAGTGGCATTTACTTGGCTGGTGGTACACCAAAGCTGCCACAGACCCAACTCAGCTGATGTCACTTCCCTTCATCTCTTGCCCTCAGTTAACACTTGAATTTCTAAACCTTGGGTTAGGAGCACAGGCAGCCCAAGGAATGGACAGGTCTGGGTTTGCAACTTCTGTGCATCCCCGAGCCTGAGTGTTCTCATTTGTAAGATGGAAACAATAGTCATTGCTGAGGGTCACTGAAGTGATTGAAGCAAATGAGTACCACATTCCTTACTTTCCCCAGGTGCTAAAGACAAGGTTGACGCTGCGTCGTACCGGCCAGTATACTGGGCTGCTGGATTGTGCGACACAGATCCTAAAACGGGAAGGCACCCAAGCCCTTTACCGCGGTTACTTGCCCAACATGCTTGGCATCATCCCCTATGCCTGTACTGACCTGGCCGTCTATGAGGTGTGGGTCCTGCAGACAGGGTGGCAGGGGTGGTACAAACCCAGGCCTGTAGTGAGCACCTTCCTGATCCCCTTCTTTTTCAGATGCTCAGGTACCTCTGGCTGAAGTCAGGCAGGGACATGGAGGATCCAAGTGGACTGGTCAGTTTGTCATCTGTGACACTGTCCACAACCTGTGGCCAGATGGCCAGTTACCCGCTGACTTTGGTGCGCACCAGGATGCAAGCCCAAGGTCAGTCTGGCCCTAGTGGGATGCCACACTTGCCCTTTCCTGCCTTGCCCCAGCTCTCTGAACTTTCTCCTTCCCCAAAACTGACTCTCACATTGATCCTGGTCACCTTTGCTGATCTGAAACTATCAAAGCTTTGATCACCCCCTAGTCTGATTGCAGTCCTCAAATTAACCCTACAAATCACTAAAAGGAACATCTATTTCTAAAGTGACTCCCTGCAATATCCCCCCAAGGGGCCCACTCCCCCGCAATGGGCCCACTCCTCCCCAATGGGCCCACTCCCCCCCAACGTGACCCATGTACTGATACTGACTTCAAGCCATCTACTCCCAAAATGACTTACGAACTCCTCCAAATCTGATCCAGCTCTCAATTGGCTCCAAAAGGGAAAACGGTTCCTAAATTTGTCCCTGATACCTTAGGGATGCCTCAAATGTTACTCGCCAAATGGATTCTCATTCCCTAATCCAATCCTCAAACATCAGTGAAGATCCTTAGCAACCCTGGTCTTCACAAGTACCCAAACTGGGCCTCCCTGATGGTGCAGAGGTTAAGTCTCAGCGCTATCAAGCTATCACCAGCTACTGCTGCACGAGTTTGATCCCCAGCCAGGGAGCCAACACACATGGCGCAGCAGACCTCTCTTGTCTCACCTGCTGCTCCCCTCAGCAGTGTATTTCAGTAGATCTGCCTGTTCTGCTCCCCACTCTGTCTCTGGTGAATCCTCTGCCCCCCTCACCTCTGGCCTACACCCCAGTTCTTATATGCACAAATAAAATCTTTTTTAAAAAGTCCCCAAACTACCCCTTAGCACCCCTCCACAAACTTCCAGTAAATCTTAGAAGTTTTCGCCCATATAAGCTGAGAGTTTTGTAAGATATACTAAAAAATGAATACTGAAAATTCCTGTCTAAATTGATCATCTCACTCTCCTAAATGGACCAATTTTCTCTTAAAAGTCCTTCTAACTCCTTTCCAAAGGACCCTCACTATGCCCCTGCCCTTGTTCTCATCTCTCCCCACCCCACCCCTACTCTAGCCCCTCCAGAAGCTCAGGTCATCTCTGGCTGAGGTCCTAAGCCTGCTCCTGTCCCTGCAGACACTATTGCAGGCTTAAACCCCACCATGAGAGGAGTGTTCCGGCAGATCCTGGCCCAGCAAGGTTGGCCCGGTCTATACCGAGGCATGACCCCCACATTACTGAAGGTGTTGCCAGCAGGCGGCATCAGCTACGTGGTGTATGAAGCCATGAAGAAAACCTTGGGCGTATAGGCAGAGTTGGGAACACACCCTGGGCAGAAAATGGACAGAAGGTTCCATTGCCCTTGGCCTCAAAGAACTCTCCAGATTCCAGTTCCGAGGGAAGTCTTTTGTCAGAAGAAGCAGACTGGAAGTCTGGGTCATAAGATTCCTGACCCCCACCCACCCAGGGTACAGTCTGGAACTAGTCGGGACTCCAGTTTGGTTTGTCCTGGCACCAGGGTGAAATGGTGAACCTGTGGGGACAACTAGGAATAAAGAGATGGTTTCTGCTGGACGTGTCTGGGATACCTGAGAGCATTAGTAGAGTTGGGTTCCTGAGATCCTGGGCCCCAGAGGTACCTTGCCTCCTCCTATCCCCCAGCTATAGAATAGTAAAAGTCTGAATGATGCCAGGGTTTAGAAGAAAAGTTGACGGATGATGCCTGGGCTCAGAAGAAATTAAGGACCCAGCATAGGAGCTTGGAGTTCAGGTCCCATGTCCTCATGCAAAGAGAGTGTGGGATGGAGAATTAGGAGCTGATATCCCTCGGTCTTGGGAAGGAAGCAATGGCCCCAGACCTTGAGTTGGGGAGGGGAGCTGTACAGAGGAAATCCTGGAAGAGAAAGGGGAACTCTAGATCCCTGATGGAGAGAGGAAGGGGTGCAAAGAATCCCTGGATTTCCTCCTGCTCGTGCATCACCCCACCACAGGAAGTGCCCGATCTCCGAGACCTCAAGCAGGCCACGTGCCAGGCCTACCCAGCCAGGCTCCTGGGACACAAACCCAGACGTCAGTTCTGAACTCCGGCAGTCTGTCGCCAATGCCCACGTCGGCTGCCATTCACCCGGGCTCCCGCTAATCCCCTCTCGCAGGCGGGTAGCGGGCTCCGCCCCAATGCAGCTAAGCTTTCACTGGCTCCCACCAAAATTGGGCACCTTTATTTCCTTCGTCGTCATTTGCTCTGAGCGATGTCAGTCATCTTACACCTGCCCCCGGACCCCAGTCATTGGCTAAGAAGTCAAGCCTAGAAAAGGATTCTGGTTAAGAAGGCAAGCAAACCAGTCCCGCCCCGAGGCTATTCCCCAGAACTAGTCGGGGATTGGAGCAAATTGACTGCCAATCTCCACAAGGCCCGCCTTTTGCTTGTACTCATTGGTTCGCGGTCACGGCTCACCGGGTGCCCCGCCCAGCCCGTTCAAAGGGGCCTTTCGCCAAGCCCCTCCCTCCAGTCCACCTGACTCGCCGCAGGAGTCAATCCGGTTCTGAAGCCGCCCCGCGATTCTGGAACTCCCGCTTCATTGGGCCTCCCCCCTTCGCGATGGCCTCGATTTGCCCTCCCTGCGCCCTCAGCCCGCCGCCCATTGCCTTTTAGAGCTGTCGGTCACCCGCCACCGCCCGCCCACTACCTCTTTCTGCACTCCGATTGGCCGCTCGTCTCCAGAGCCCGCGATAGGTGTTCGGGGAACGCCGGCCGCCTCCTATTGGCCCAGCTCAGCCGTCCGTCACGCCGGCGGCGGGAGGGGGCGTCCGTCTCCCCGCTCGTCGTCTTCCCAGCCGCTGGCTTCCCAGAGTGCTCCGCGGCCGTGTGGAGCGAGGCCTTGTTCCCGCGTTGAGCCGCCGCCGCTGCCGCCGCCGCCGCCGCCGCCTCCTCAGCCTCAGCCTCCGCGCCAGGCCCGGCCCCGCCGCGCCATGTCGGACTACAGCACGGGAGGACCCCCGCCCGGGCCGCCGCCGCCCGCCGGCGGGGGCGGGGGATCCGGGGGGCCCGGAGGCGCCGGGGGAGGCCCTCCGCCGGGCCCGCCGGGCGCGGGGGACCGGGGCGGCGGCGGGCCCGGCGGCGGCGGCCCGGCGGGGGGGCGGCCGGCGGCCCCTCGCAGCCCCCCGGCGGGGGCGGCCCCGGGATCCGCAAGGACGCCTTCGCCGACGCCGTGCAGCGGGCCCGCCAGGTGAGGAGGCCGCGGCCCGAGGGGCGCCCGCGCGGGCGGCGGGGGGGAGGGGGCGGGGGTCACGTGCGCGCGCGGGGTCGCGGGAGGGGCCGGGGCCGCCGCGGGGTCACGTGGGGCGGTAGGCGGGGGCCCGCGGGGTCCCCTCGGGGTGACCCCCCCGGCGGGGGCAGGGGCGCCCGGGGTCCCCGGGAGCGTCCCCGGGGTGTGGAGAGGCCGCGCGCGCGGGGACCCGCCTGGGGACCCCGGGACCCCCCCGGTGGGGTGCCGCGGGCTTCTCGCTCCCGGAGGCGAGGCCCGCCCTCCCGGGGGAGGGTCCTGCGCGCCCCCTCCTCCCGCCGAGGCCCGGGGCTGCCGGCCCCCAGCCTGGCCCCGGCTCCTCGCGCGCTCCTGGAGGAAGGGGCTGGGGGAGCAGCGGTCCCCCCCGGAGCCGGGCAGTGCAGCGGGGCCCCTCCGCCGCCGGGGTGGCCGCGCGCTCGGGCGGAGTGGGGAGGAGGAGGGTGAGGCTGGCCCTCGGGTGCTCCCCAGACGGGAAGGGGGCCTGTCTCTGCGCGGCGGGGAGGGTCGCGCCAGTGTTTTCGGGCCGGATGACAACATGGAGTTGTCACATGCCGGCGTGGCTGACCTCCCCGGCTCGCCTGCAGGCCCGAAGGGGAGGAGGCTCGGGGAGAACGGAGGACTTTGCCGCCTTTCGGGAAGGGGACTGGCCCGGGCCGGTCGCCTCGCTCGCGGCGGTCCAGCCCTCCGGGCAGGGTGGGAGGCCCGTTAGGAGACGCCCTCTTCGGGCCCAGCGTGGGCTGCGGTTTTCTCACCCCGCGGTGGGGTAGGCTTCCAAGGTGCGTCTGAGCCGGTCACGCAGGGGACTGCCTTGGTTCAGAGACACCTACAGCTGGGGGAGTTGGTGCTTTGTGTTGAGGTGGGAAAAGGCCCGTCTGGGCATCCTGAGAGCTTTGGCTCCAAGTCAGTGGCGTGGAGGAAAATCCGGAGAGGTGAAAAGATAGAGCCTTCAACTCAGGTTGGTTTCTTTGGAAAAACTGGAGTAGTTTTGCAGACACACCTGTCTTAAGTTTGTTGATTTTGAGTTCATTGGAAGTTGTTCATCGTGTGTCTAAAATGTAGCCTGTGTTCCAAAAGGGTCTTTTGTTTCGGCCAAATGAAAATTTCAGATGCCTTGAAACAAAAACTTTTCCTGAGATTTCTTCAACAAATGCAAAGATTGCATGGCGAGAGCCATAAGAGGTAGCTGTGCTCTTCAGCATCCCAGAAGAACCAGGCTAGAGTCAAGCTGTCTGGTTCTCTGCCCTGGGTCTCCAGGGTGAGGAGGGAAGTGGCTGAAAGTTTTGGTTCGTGGACATGACCTGAGTGAGGACCCTTGTCTGCACCTGAACTTTTGTATCTTTCACCCCCAGATCCAAGTCTGCATAGATTACCTCATGGATAACTCTAGAACTCTGAGTCTTAAGACTCTTTCCAGAACAGTTGGCGCATCCCTAAATTGGGGAGGAAGCTACTCCCAGACCTAGTGGATTTTCATGAATCAGGGGTGTTCAGGGAAGTTGATCTGAGTGCCACAGAGGGTTGGTTTGGTAGTAATTCTGTGTTTACTACTTTATTTTTAGATTGCAGCCAAAATTGGAGGTGATGCTGCCACCACAGTGAACAACAGCACTCCTGATTTTGGTTTTGGGGGCCAAAAGAGGCAGTTAGAAGATGGAGGTAACTACCTGCTGGGAGCAAGTTCTGGGGAGTGAGAGTGAGGTGCCTTTGTTTGAATATGTTGGGGGTGGGGGGAGCCCTACTGCTGTTTGGTCTTTTAAAACCTCAGCAATCCAAGCTTTGTTCGTTCTTTTTGTTCAGTCTGCCATCCTGAGGTATCAGGTAGCTGAGAGGAGGGCAGATTAATTGTGACTGGGTCCAAGTTGTAAGTTTTCAACATCCTTCTCCCCCTATGGTAGGCTGGGGAAAGGCTCTCAGTTTTATTGAGGCCCCGCGTAAAGTGTAGGGTTGACTTGACTGCAAGTAGCATTACCTGCAGAAGCCAAAATGACAGGCTGGTGATCATTTCATCTCTTTCATCCACATTCCTTCCCTTCCTGGGGCAGATCTGGTCCTAAACTGGAAGGACCCAGTGTGTGGTCATCATTGTTCACCTATAATAAAGATCTTTTTTACCCTGGATATTGGTGGGATTAAGGAGTTCTGGCCACTTTCTGAGATTGGTCTCTTCTCTCCTGTCTTGGCTTTCATATTAGGGGTGGGGGAAGTGGAATGGTTTGCCAGGACATGTGGCACCAGCATCAGATTTGAGGCAGCTGTGGGTGGGTGGGTGCTGCATCTGACATATCCTCTCTCTTTCGCAGACCAACCGGAGAGCAAGAAACTGGCTTCCCAGGGAGACTGTAAGTCCCTTGAAGAGGGCAGCTTCAAGGTCTTTTAGGAACGGGGAGCTAGAAGCATGGAGCATGTGGTAGCTTCTCCTTATTGGCAGCTCTAGGTGTTCATCATCTGGGCTTCATGAGCTTTAAGGATCCCAAAAAACCTCCAAATTGGGGCAGAAACTCTCAGAGTGTATGTGTGCGTGCCGCGCACGGTCTGCTGTGAAGAGGGGTCTGTGGTGCGTGAGTGCTTAGAAGCCCAGCCTGAGGTGCTAGTTCCAGAGCGCTGCTGGAGAACCTTGGGGCCAGTAGTAGGCAGGGTCCCTTAAAGGAACAAGGCCAATCTTTCCTTTGGGTTCTCTCTCCACAGCCATCAGTTCTCAGCTTGGACCTATCCATCCTCCCCCCAGGTAAGTGGTGACTTGAGCATGGCATTTCTCTATCTCTCATTTGTCTCTACCTTCTCTTAGTCACTTGGGAGAGAGGTCTGTCTTGGGGCTGCACCATGAAAGGTTTTGTCTCCATTCCTGGTCACTCAGAGAGGGGACTGAGCAGCATGACTGTCTGCGCTTGGGTGTCTTCGGGGCTGTGGGGGTGGGTGGGGCAGTAGCTGGCAGGATGAAGGGTGGGCTCTGCGTCCTGTTTGCTGCCTGCATCGCGGCGGGCATGCTCAGAAACAGGCTTATCCCCTTGAAGAGGTTGTGGAAGAACCTTGATTTTTCTCTGCAAAAGCTGTTTCCTGGGAGCTAGTGGGACCTGGGAAGTTGTCCCGTTGACTTTAGTGAGTCTGATGAATTCTTTGTCAAGAACTACATTGTTGCTGCTTTTTTTTTTTTTTTTTTTTTTTTAAGTTTGGTAGTTTTGTAAAGTACAATAAAAATTACTTATTGGAAAATAAAGTGGAAGATAAAAGTCAGATTTTTATATTTAAGATGCGCAGATGTAAAAGGACTTTGTTAGATTGCTTTAAAAGTACCTCCTTTGCCGTGAGACAGCTAGGGTACAGGGGCCCAACTGCCCCAGACCAAGCCTCTTAACTCCATGAGGAAACCGGGGGGTGGTTGGTGACTTGTTGTGGCAAGAGTGAGCCTTGTGCTATTGTCAGGCTCCACTTAGGTCTTTGGGGACTTGGTACCCATGTCATGGAAAGCAAGCTGAGGGGTCAGAAACATGGCTTTGGTGGGCTTTTTCTTAGGCGACCACCTCTCACTTGTCCAACTTCTGCTTCCTCCTTGAAACTGACTTTCATTATTTCTCTTTGAAGGACTTCAATGACAGAAGAGTACAGGGTCCCGGATGGCATGGTGGGACTGAGTGAGTATAGGTCAGGGATGCCCATTCTCTGCCACACCTTCTCCCCCTTGGGGCTGTGTCCTGGGAGGCCCCACCAGGGGGCCTCCTCTCTCACTCCTTTCTGAATGGGTCAGAGTCTCAGCTTCAGCCCCCTTTTCAGTCTGTTTTTCTTCCTTCCACCTAGTCATTGGCAGAGGTGGTGAGCAGATAAACAAAATCCAGCAAGATTCAGGCTGCAAGGTCCAGATCTCTCCAGGTATGAGAACCAGGTTTATGCCACAATGGGAGCTGGTTTGGGCTTGTGGTCTTTGCGCTTTTTTTAGTAAACATCTGAGTTTTGCCTTAACTGGGTAAACAGATATAAAATGGACTGGTTTGTTGAGCCGTTTTTGTGTGCTAGGCCTGGCGCTGTATGTCAACTTGGGCAACTCCTTGTGACTTTTTGTCTGTCTTTCATTTCATAATTGGGGAGGGGGGCTGAGGTGGAAGGGCTAGAACTGCAGTCCGGAACCTCACTTCAGGCTTCTGCTCTGGAATATGATGTGAAATTGCTGCTTAAACCCCTAATAGAACACCAGTGGGAATATGGGGGGCAGGGAGAGTGGCAGAAAGAACCACTGTGCAACTGGGCCTAGGTGTCAACCCCAGGTCTGGCTGCCCTTCTGCAAGTGCCTTCCTCTCAGCGTTCCTCAGGACTCTTCTAATGCCTGAACTCCTTGACTATAGGGGGCGGGGGCTCGTGTAACTATCAGGGCTGGTGGAATGGCCCAGATTTCGGATCTTCTGGAAAATCCCTCTTTTACATCGTCTCTTTCCCTAAAACTTGCCCCCTCCCCCCCTTACTGGACTTCTAAGTTTCCCGAATCTTTTGGTCTTGCCTAGAGTGGCCTTCTGGGGTCTTGGGGGGGTAAGTTGAATGGCCAGAAGGCTACGTGGTGGCGGAAGTGGCTGGTGGTTGCTCTGGAAGTTTCCTCGTCTCCACGGAAGGCCTTGGCAGGCTCGCAGGCCCCAGACAGATGTGGACCCTGTTTCCTCTCTCCTCAGACAGTGGCGGCCTACCCGAGCGCAGCGTGTCCCTCACGGGAGCCCCGGAATCCGTCCAGTAAGTCCCCAACTGAGGCTGGGGTGACTAGGGGGATGGGTAGAAGCCTTCTTGACCCTTTCGAAAATGGGGGATGACATCTCGCATCATGCCCCTCAACGCCCTGCCCTCTCAGGAGGCTCCTGGCACACTGGTTTTCCTGAACCACCCCAGCCCTGCTAACTGGACCCTCTTCCTTGTCATCCGGCCAGACACAGACGTTGGCATTCCTTTCTTCCTTTTGAGCTGGGTGGGGCTGCCAGGCCAGGAGTAGGAAGTAGTCTTTTTCAAGTGACAGTGTTGTTCTCCCCTTCCCAGAAAAGCGAAGATGATGCTGGATGACATCGTCTCTCGGGGTCGCGGGGGCCCCCCTGGACAGTTCCATGACAATGCTAATGGGGGCCAGAATGGCACAGTGCAAGAGATCATGATCCCCGCAGGGAAGGCTGGCCTGGTCATTGGCAAGGGCGGGGAGACCATCAAACAGCTGCAGGTGAGGGGACAGGACAGCGGACAGAGACTTTCCAGCCCAAGAAAGTTTCCTTCCTGTGGTCCTATGGCCACACGTCCCCACCCATTGCTTTGCCCCAGAGTCTTACCCTTTTTGGTCTTACCCGACCTCCATCCCCAAGTACATCAGCCCTAAAAAGTCTTTGGGGAACTCAGCACTGACTGTCAACACTGGTTGTAAAGGAACGAGCTGGAGTGAAGATGATTTTAATTCAAGATGGGTCTCAGAATACAAATGTGGACAAGCCTCTGCGCATAATTGGGGATCCTTACAAAGTACAGGTGAGCACCTCCTGGGTGGGATGGTGAGGATTTCTGGCAAAGGGATGGTGTAAGGGGGGACAGGGGTCTGCATTTACTGGAGGTTTGTGTGAATGGGCCGAAAGTGGGGAGGTTTCAGGAGTGCCGATGTCGAAATTCGCCCTGAACTCATACCGGTGCTGAACTACCTCCCAGTTGTATGTGCGCAAACCAGAGGCCTGAATGCTGATCTGTTTTCTTGTCTGGAAAACGAAGGGTTTCTGTGTTGAGCGCAGCCTGTGTGTGCTGTCCTTAGTTTAGGCCCATGACCCCTGGGGACGTGGGAGGCAGGGGTGGAATACAGTGGGGCAGCAGCCTTGCCTGTGTGCCCACATCCTGTGTGTTTGCAGCAAGCCTGTGAGATGGTGATGGACATTCTCCGGGAGCGTGACCAGGGCGGCTTTGGGGACCGGAATGAGTACGGATCCCGGATTGGCGGGGGTATTGACGTGAGTGCGGGCTTCCCTGAGGAGGGGATAGGTGATCTCACTGCCAGCAGCTATGGGGACTGAGCCTTACTGATTCTTTTGCCTCTTTTCCTCCCTAGGTGCCAGTGCCCAGGCATTCTGTTGGCGTGGTCATTGGCCGGAGTGGAGAGATGATCAAGAAGATCCAGAATGATGCCGGTGTTCGGATACAGTTTAAACAAGGTCAGCGCCTAACCCAGGATATCAGCAGCGGGTGTGGGTGTGCTGGCTGACATTGTCCTCTTTGGGTCACCATTAGGGTCCTCAGCAGGCAGCTTGGACCTTGGTCGTCCTCTTTGTGGTGTCTCCAAGACAGGCCACTGGAACATGTCTGTCTCTGACCCCTGCTGTGGACGGCCATGGGGGAGTTGGTGACGGCCAACTTTTCAAGTTCCCACCAAGTGGCCTGTCTTGATGGGGCAATCTGGGGCTGGATCACAATACTCTGCCATAGCCCTGGGCAGCAAGCAGTCTCAACGCCGTATGTCTGCAGGGTGGAGGAATCCCTGTTGCTGCTTCTGGGGTGTCACACGAAGAAGGTAGTTTCAGCTATTGCCCTGCCTTAGCTGGTCTGCTTCAGAGAACTTGAGCTCATCTGCCCACCCCCTGAGTATGGTTTTGGTAGCGCAGCATCTGCCCTGAAGAGGGAGTATGACGGTGATGGAATTGCATTTCTCTTTTCAATTTGTCGTATTGCTGCCTGGGTGCTGACCTCAGATGACGGCACGGGTCCTGAGAAAATAGCCCACATAATGGGGCCCCCAGACCGGTGTGAGCATGCAGCCAGGATCATCAATGATCTTCTCCAGAGCCTCAGGGTAGGTGACGCGGGTCATGCTGGGAGGAGACTGGCCTGTCTCGGGAAGTCCAGGGACCAAACTGACTTCTTGCACTCATCCTCCAACTCCTCCATGTCTTGCAGAGTGGTCCCCCAGGCCCTCCAGGGGGTCCTGGCATGCCCCCCGGGGGCCGGGGCCGAGGAAGGGGCCAAGGCAACTGGGGCCCTCCTGGCGGGGAAATGACCTTCTCCATCCCCACTCACAAATGTGGGCTGGTCATCGGCCGAGGTGAGTAGGGCCCCGGCACACCATCCCTCACCCGTTCTCTCCTCCTCCTGCTCTCCCCTTCATTGCCTGTGGCACCCCTGGCAGGAGGTGAGAACGTGAAAGCCATAAACCAGCAGACAGGAGCCTTTGTAGAGATTTCCCGGCAGCTGCCACCCAATGGGGACCCAAACTTCAAATTGTTCATCATCCGGGGCTCGCCCCAGCAGATTGACCATGCCAAGCAGCTCATCGAGGAGAAGATTGAGGTGGGCTCAAGGATGGGTTCTCTGGGATCCCCAACTTGACTCTTCCTTTTCTCCACCACTATTGACCTTTTCCACTTCTTCCCTCAGGGTCCCCTCTGCCCAGTCGGACCAGGCCCTGGGGGACCAGGCCCTGCTGGTCCTATGGGGCCCTTCAACCCTGGACCTTTCAATCAGGGGCCACCTGGGGCTCCTCCTCAGTGAGTATTCCCCTCTGCTTCCTGAGGGATTTGGGATGGGAGGTAACATCCCCATTTTCATACACCGCCAGGAGGTCTAGTTCTGTGTTTAGAGGCACTGTTTGTAGGATCAAGCCCAGCTCTATCATATGGACACTCTGGATTTAAAAGATGGCCTAGATACCCATCCTTGTCTCCTCCTCATTCTAAATCCACCTCATACTCAGATGTCTGTCCAAGCCTGTTGGATCTGGGAGACTTACCTGTGCCTTTTGCTTTGCGGCCCCACCCAGGCAGTGACCTGGGACTGTGCCCCCTTTCTAGCTGCAGCCAGCCTTGCCCTCTTAGGGGTATAACCACTGCTCACATGTACCTCTTCCTCCTGCAGTGCTGGGGGCCCTCCTCCCCATCAGTACCCACCCCAGGGCTGGGGCAATACCTACCCCCAGTGGCAACCGCCAGCTCCTCATGACCCAAGTAAGTACAGCTGGGTGAGGGGGAGGGTGGCTCTGCATTTTTATGGGGGCAGGACAGGCTGGTTTCCTGTGCAGCTCCTCAGCCCCACTCCCCTTTTATAGATAAAGCTGCTGCAGCTGCCGCAGACCCCAATGCTGCCTGGGCTGCCTACTACTCACACTACTACCAGCAGCCCCCGGGTCCCGTGCCTGGCCCTGCGCCAGCCCCTGCGGCCCCACCTGCCCAGGGCGAGCCGCCTCAGCCCCCACCTGCCGGCCAGTCGGACTACACTAAGGCTTGGGAAGAGTATTACAAAAAGATAGGTGAGTGTGAGGCTGTCTCAGAGGTCCAGTTAGGCAGAGGCAATGGGGGCATCGGTACCCATGTTCTCATTCTGGCCTCTGAACTCTGGGTGCCACTTTCTACAGGCCAGCAGCCCCAGCAGCCTGGAGCACCGCCACAGCAGGACTACACGAAGGCCTGGGAGGAATACTACAAAAAGCAGGGTGAGTCAGATGAGGCCATAGGAGCCAGGACCAGGCTGCTCGCGCCAGCAGGATCCTCTCCTCTAATCTGCGCACTACCTTCTAATCCCCCACAGCTCAAGTGGCCACTGGAGGGGGTCCAGGTGCACCTCCAGGCTCCCAGCCAGACTACAGTGCTGCCTGGGCTGAATATTACAGACAGCAAGCCGCTTACTACGGACAGACTCCCGGTCCTGGCGGCCCCCAGCCACCACCCACACAGCAGGGACAGCAGCAGGCAAGTGGGAACTGCCACCCTCCTCCTCCTCCTTTCTCCTTCCAACCCCCGGCCACCGTCCATCCTGCCTTAGTGGGTAGCGCCGGAAATCCCTTCCCCTGCGGGGTGTGTCCTTGATGCCTGCAGCGGGGGCCGTGTGGCCAGAGGTCTCCGGGAGTCCCCACAAGCCGGGGAAGTATGCGCTGGGTCCAGAGGTTAAACGAAGAGGCCTCCCTCCGCCGGCCCGCTTGTTCCTGTGTAACGCTGTCGTGATGCTGGGGGAGAGCTGGAAACGAATACGAGGTGGAACTGTTGAACTGGTGGGTAGTCCTGGGGGTGGGGACAGGCCGGCAGCTCCGACGTTGGTCACCGTCCTGGCTGCTAACTCAAAATCTGGCCACTTGGGAAGAAAACAGCTATTTTTTCCCCCTTTCTGCATTACTTTTTTTGGGTTTTGTTCTTTTTATTTTATTTTTAAACCCATGATCTTTTCCCCTCATGTCCAAATGACTGTGCGTTGCAGGTGACCCTGGTGTGGGTCAGCCCCGGCTCTGGCGGGGGATGCAGGGAGCTGACCGAGGGGACCAGCTCCAGGGGCTCGGCCTCTGCTCTGTGCCCGCCTCTGTGTCCCGGTCTTGTCTGTGAAGTGGGCATGATGGTCGTTGCCACCTTCCAACCTACCTCACAGGGGTGTTGTGGGGACACCATGATCTGAGACTGTTGATGTTGTGATGTGCCGGGAGCCACCCACCTTCTTGAAGACAAAGGGCACCCCTCTCCCCTCTGCACCCTGAGCGTGCTTCTCTCTTGCTCTCTCCCCTTTTCCCCTTTCTGAGGACCCTGCTTCTCTCTCCTTCCTTGTCATTCTTTCTCCTCCTCCATCAGGGAGCCAGTCTGACTCAGCCGAGTTCCCCGGAGCACTTGACTAGACAGTTACCACTTGCCCTTCAGCCTGAGCTCGCCACAGGACCGGAGTGGGCGTCCAGGCCCCTCTGCCACTTGCCCCCTCTAGATTCCAGCCCCTTCTTCTCCCTCCCCGGAGTGACCAATTCCTATCTCTCCCTCTCCGCAGGCTCAATGAATCGAATGAATGTGAACTTCTTCATCTGTGAAAATCTTTTTTTTTTTTTTTTTTTTTTTCCATTTTGTTCTGTTTGGGGGCTTTTTTTGTTTGTTTAGATTTTTTTTCTGTTCGTTTGGCGAGAGAGCGATGGCCGTGGGGGTGCCAGGGAGCCCTCCCTGTGAGTGGCTCAGTGGTTGTGGCACAAGTGTGGCTGGGCTCTCGCTCTCTCGTTCATTCTGTGTCTCTCACATGCTTTTTTTTCTTTCAAAATTGGGATCCTTCATGTTGAGCCAGCCATAGAAGATAGTGAGAACTAAGTCTCTGCAAAAAAAAAAAAAATAATTAAAAATAAAAAACAGAGCAAAAGAAAACCTATAAAATTATATATATATATAAAAATCTCTATCCCCCCCAGCCCCCCAAGCCTTCATGAAACTGCCTCTTTCAGGGGAAAGCAATTTTCTCCCCGCCACCCTTGGCCCTTTTCATGTTTTTAAAATAAACTTTAACAAAGGAGAAAAAGTCACTCTTGCTATTTCTTTTCTTTTAGTTAGAGGTGAAACATTCCTTGGACCAGGTGTTAATATTGCAGGAACCAACTCCACCACTCCCCCCGCCCCACCCCTCAGTCAAACCCCCTTGGCCTCTCTGCTTCCCTTCTTGCTCCTCCTTCCACCCCCAGCTCGGCTCCCCCGCAGTCCCTCCTGTCCCCCCACTCCCAGGACTGGTCTGTTGTGGTTCATCTGTTTGAAAGGACATTGCAACTGAAAACAGAACAAAACAAAAAAAAATTGTATGGCAGTTTTTACTTTTTATCGCTCGTTTTTAACTTCACAAATAAATGATAACAAAACCTCCCCTCGTCTGCTGGGTGCCGTCTCTTCTCTTCTCTCCTCTCCTCCCCCGTAGTTTTGAAAATATTTGTTCTTTATAGATGTTGTAAAAGCCTGATAATGGTGATTGGAAATTACAAGCTTGTGTTGTGTTTCTGTTTTTGTTTTTTCTTATTTTTTTTTTTAAGAAAACAATTATAAGAGAAAATAGTTTTCTGCAGGCGCATTGTGCTTTCCTAACTCCCCGTCCCCCCCCCCCCCCATTTTTGGTTAAATAAAGTGCTTTTTGTCTAAAAACTGCGTCCTGTCCGCAGTTGTGTTTGTGGAAGAAACAAGTTGAGGAATAATAAGGCTTGATCAAGGAGAGTGGGGTGTGGGCCCCCAAAGATTACCCTCCTCATCTTGAAGGGAATAGCAACTGGGCCTACCACTGCAATCTGCCCCCAACTTTTTCCCTCTGGGAACTTGGGGAGCAAGGCACCCGGAAGGCTCCCTAAGGACAGGTGTTCCCATGGATGCAACCTGCACAGCAGCAAACATAAAACTGCCCCTGGGAGTTGCTTGGCCTCTTCGAGGAAGTGGTTTCAGTTCCAGTACTTGGTGGCAGACGTGGCCTCTGAAAGGTGAGGACAAGATGGCAGAGTGAATTGAGGCCCACTTGAGTCATCTGGCCCAGGAGGGCAGCCAGTTTGTGACATTTCTATGGCTGGAGTCCCTCATGGATTTAGGTTGAGTAGCGACACTTAGAAATCAGGGTTCACCTTCAGGATTAGGATGACAGGGCCCAGCAGGAGTCAGTGACAGCTGCCACTTCCAGATAGGTCCCTCCACAGCCCTTATCACCTGGCCCATAGTTGTTAGCAACCTGCTTGTTACTTGTGGGCCCGAGAAAGGATGCTGTCACCTCAGCTTTGTGGGTGGAGTTGACATAGAACCTGGATCTCCCCTCACCACACATCTTACCTCGCATGCTCTGCACTCCTTTCTGAGCCCTGTGTGGATTCTGGGGTGAGGGTAAAGGCAGAGCCCAGCATCTTCATCTCACTGCAGACTGTCTATGACAGAGCAGCACTTGGCAAAAATGTTTTGTGGAGTTTCTTCTGCCAAGATCTGAAAGATAAAGCAAGGAGTCAGTTCTAAGTCCCATTAGATCATTGCTCTTCACCCCTCCAAGGAGGGGAAAAGAGACCACAGGCATCTCTAATGATTGCAGGTGAAGAATCAAAAGGTGCAATCCCAGGTCCAATCGGTGTGGGAGGGAGAACAGATTGGGAAGGTTACCAGTCAGCCACACAGGCTGCCCAGAGATGCCCTCAGGACAGCCATGAGAGGGGTGTGCGCATGGGGCAGATAGCCCGCTCATCCCCATCCTTGGTGAAAGCTAGTTCCATAGGGCATCATCTCTCATCTCACACTCAACCCGCAGGCATGGGGCTCAGTAAAAGGTGTAGGGAAAGGTATCAGCTATACCTTTTAAGAATTAAGATACTCTCCTTCCACCTTGAGAATACATATGCCTGGACTTGTGATCAACAGTGGTCAATCTTATGTTTTGCAGATAACATTTTAAAGTTTAATGTTGCAGTTTGGGGGCCATTCCGTTTAGACCTTAAATGTCATTGCCAGGAGGCCAAACCCTGCTCCCTTGCTGCCTAATGAAGGAAATGGGAAAACCAGGGCCAGAAGAGTTCTGGGGCAACAATGTACTGTTTAAGCTGAATCTAGTCCCCCAGAAAGCCAAGGGGGCCAAGTGGCAAGCCAGGAGCACCTACATTCCAGAGCAGGTTCTTCTGCTGGTAGAAGGTCAAGACAGGCTCAAACAGGGTGTAGTGTGTCTCCAGGCGCCGGTGGATGGCCGACTCACAGTCATCTGCCCGGTGCTCCACCTGACCCCGGCGCAGCACTCTTTGGACCATCGTCTCCATGGAACAGTCAAACACCATGACAATGTTGGGGGCCCGGCCGACCTAAGACACCCACAAAGGAGACCAGGTGAGGAAGAAGCTGGGCCGAGTAGCCTATTCTTCCCACTATGTCCCTAGCACCCCTACCTGGCCCAGATCAGAAATTCTGGATTGTTCATAAAGAATGATAAAAGTAAAGAATAATTGGGCCCGAGTCCTTTTTTTTCATTAAATGAAAAAAGTGTTTGTTTCATGCGTTTGTGTTTTGGATAGGTACGACATCTTGCCACTTCACAAGCAAAGCAACGCTAACAGTGAAGAGTTCCTCACTGTTCCTGGCTACCCAGTGCCACCCTCCCTGCAGGCAGCCAAGTTATCTATGTCTCCTAGAGCCGTTTTAGGCACAAGCTGTACAAGTCAACAAGGGTTTGTTTGGGGTTTGTTTTTTTTTTCTACTTCTTAAAATACAAATGGTGAATGAAGACATTTATTCTTATTTCCTTAGTGGAGATAATTCCATATGTTGGCATATAAGGAAGTTCCTGATCTTTTAAACCAGTATATAGCAGTCTATTGTATAGATGTGCTGAGTTTACTTAATTGGTTCCTTAGTGATGGATATGTAGATTGAAGTATTTCTTTTAGGATGATTACAGCAGTCTTCACTTGCCTTCCTCCTGCCCAAACTTTACAGGCAGGTATAGAGTTGAAGCTTACCACTGCCCACAATCATTGCTCTGCCCACCCTGACTGGCCCCACCTTGGGGAAACCATCCTGGATAAAATCATGGCCACCCACTCAGAGCTCCAACTGCTACTTTCTCTAGAATTTCCAGAAAATTTTTTGATTTTTCATTAAGAAAACAAGTGGTATCCATCCCAGGAAAGCAAGGATGGCTCAATACAATTTACTGTATTAATATCTTAAAGAAAGGTCTTGTGAGCATCCTTATATGGGCTATGTTGTCTATCAATTGACAAAAAGGGTAGTTGACAAAATTCAGCATGCTTCTGGATTGAAAAGAAAAAAGCCTCAAGGACTGACAAAGATATCTCCAGCCAACATCTTAATGGCAACTTAGTCAGGAACAAAACAAAATTGCCCATACTTGCCAATATAACTTGGTAAGGTATAAGAGATTTAGCTAAGATAATGAAATTAAAGAAAGCATTTTAAGAGACCAGGATTGAAAAGAAGGTTTAAAAAAATGTCCATTTGCGAATGATATCATTATATTTCTGGAAAGCTCAGGAAAATCAACACACTGGTACAAAATGTGATGAAGACACAGGATATAGCACTAATACATGGAAGCCAGCCTACATGGACACAGAAATCACCATCTAGAAATAGACAACAAGGTCTCATTTGAAATAACCATTTTTTTAATACTCAAATTTTTTTCTCTCGATGGATAGAGTCTTAAAGAAAATCTTTAAGGAAAACTTAAAACATTCCTAAGTGACTCAAAAGAAGACTTGAGAAAAAGGAAGATATAAATGTTCTTGGATAAGGAGGATTCAACATTATAAAGGAGCCAAGGGCTTCTAAATTAGTTGAAAAATTTAATGTGATCCAAATTTTGTGTGTGTGTGTGTGTGTATACATATATATATATGTATATGTATGTGTATATATGTATACATATATATGTATATACACATATATGTGTTTATATATGAGTGTGTGTATTTTAGTGCAGCTGAGTTGATTATAACATTCATACAAAAATAAACAAGGGGTAATGGCCAGAATATAGGCAAAGAAAATGGATGGTGGGGCACGGAAAGGGCGTTCAGCCTTACTATAGCAAAACAAAAACTCCATGATTAAAACAACAGTACACAGAGGACAAACCGCATCTGAACTAGAATAGGAAAAGTCCAGAAATAGAGCCGAGTGAAAATGGAAATTTGGTAAATGGTTAGGGTAGTATCTCAAGTCGATGGAGAAAAATGCAGACTTTTAAGTCTATAATGCTGGGCTGCAATTTGGAAAAAGATAAAACTGAATGCTTGCCTCATTCCAAAAACTAGGTTAAGTTCCAAATGGATCAGAGATATAAATGTAAGATATAAAGCCATACAAGTCCTAAAGAAACTGTGGATGAACTCCTTTATAATTTAAGATTGGGAGGGAAAAAATGTAACTATGGCTCAAAATCCAGAAGCAATAACAGGAAATATTGATCAATTTGATAAAAATTTTTAAAAACTTACATGGCAAAAAGACACTAATCAAAGTCAAAGCTAACAAAAACTAGAGGAAAAAATATTTACAACCAAATCACAAAGGGCTATGCAGAATTCCTAGAAGTCAGGAAGAAGAACCGTAATCTGTCAGAAGGAAAAAGGAGCAAAAGCTGGGCCTCCTTGGTGGTACAGGTGTTAAAGTCTCAGCACTGTCAAGCCAATACCAGGCACTGCAGCTTGAGTTCGGTCCCCAGCCAGGGAGGTGACCCACATGGTGCAGCAGACCTCTCCTGTCTCACCTGCTGCTCCCCTCAGCAGTGTGTTTCAGTAGATCTGCCTGTTCTGCTTCCCCACTCTGTCTCTGGTGAACCCTCTCACCCCACTCCTGCACCTCTGGCCTACACCCCAGTTCTTATATTCATAAATAAATAAAAATAAATCTTTTAAAACACACACACAAGACACCATGAGCTAAGAGCTTCATGGGCTATTTTACAGTGGCCACCATCTGACCCCGCATGAGCTTGCCAGGACAGCCACCAAAAAGAACCACAGATTGGGTAGCTGAACAGAAATTCTATTTTCTCACAGTCCCAGAGGCTGGAAGCACAAGATCAAGGTGTCATCAGTCAGTAGGGTTGGTTCCTTCTGAGGTCTTGCTCTTGACTTGCGGATGACCTCCAAGTCCTCATCCGGTCATCCCTCTGGGTATGTCTGTGTCCTAACTTCTTCTTATAGCAACTCTAGTCAGATTGAATGAGGGCCCACCCTCTTTTACCTTAATCCTCTCATTTAAGACTCCATCTCTAAATAGGGTCTCTAAATAGGAGGTCCTGAGGTTAGGATTCCAACATATGAATTGAGGGGAGGGGACAGATACTAATGGCCAACAGGCACATGAAAACATGCTCCTCATCACATATTTCCAGAGAAATGCAAATTAAAGCCACATGAGATACCAACTCACCACTGTGAAAATGACCCACGTCTGAAAGGCGAGAAACAAGCATTGGCGAGGGTGTGGAGGAAAGCTAGGAATGTAGATTAGCCTCTACAGAAAATAGTATGGAGCGTTGTAAAAACATTAAAAATGAATCTACCATATAATCCAGCAATCCCTCTCCTAGGTATCTACCCCAGGAATACAAAGCAGTAATTTGAGAGATATACGCATGCCTGGGTTCCTCACAGAACTAGGTACACAAGCAAGTTGGAGTGAAGCAACCTAAGTGCCCAGATGAGTGGGTTAAGTTGTTCCATACACAGAGGACTACGGCTCAGCGATATGCCTATACATAAAAGGATGAAACCTTGCCATTGGTAACAACCTGGCTGGAACTGGAGTGCATTATGCTAAGTGAAATAGTCCGAAGAAGACAGACAGATGATTTCACTTACGTGCGGACTATAAAGAAAGCAAAGGAACACACACAAAAAAACCCTGAAGCAAACTCCAGATATCTGACGGCAGAAGAGGAGGGTGAAAGGTAGGAGCAAAGGGGGGCGGGCAATGGACTATGCTGGAGAATGATTGGGGCTTTGGTGGTGGGTGGTGTAATAACACACATGTGTAGAGGTGTGGACCTGCGCCCCTAAAACATAGTGTGGTAAACCAACACTGCAATAACATAATTTTCAAAGTTTGTTTTTATTTTATTATTTTTTTAAAGATTCATTTATTTATACAAGCACTGGGTACAGTCAGAAGCGCGGGAGGGTGAGAGAATTCACCAGAGCCAGGGTGGGGAACAGAACAGGAAGACTGACAAAGTACACTGCTGAGGGGAGCAGCAGGCATGGCAGGAGAGGTCTGTTGCACCTGTGGGACCCTCTCCTGGGGCCGGGGTTCGAACCGGCACTGCAGAGGCTGCACGCAGCTTCACAACCAGCACTCAACCGCTGTGCCACCAGGGAGGCCCCAAAGTTTGTTTTTAAATACATATTTATTTGAAAATGTTCTCCTGTGAATACTCTAATACCATCTTGTGCCCCACAAAGCTGACACTCTGGGAAAAGCATCAGCCCAGTTATCTGAGAGACCAACTCCCGTCAAGCAGATAACCTCAAACAGACACGTGAGTCAGAGGGGAGAGAGGGGGCTGGGGGTGAAGGGCGAGCTGGTACCCTCCCACTTAAATCCTGGACAGGTCCTAAGGCAGGGGCTGCGACAGATTCTACGGCTTGTAGCTCAATATCCAGGAAGCTTAAAGAGATCTAGAAAATTCTGTGCAAAGAAAATTCACTTTCCTAACATACAGCCCCATTTCTCTTTCTTTTTCTCACTTCTGTCAGCCACATGGTGCAAGGGGGAAATGCACGTGTTCTCTCCCTCTAAGCTTGCAACCACAATGCAAGTAGGAGTCCAAATGGCAGATGATGATGCTCGGCCTCCTTGATGGAGTGGGAACTGGGTGGAGAGGGGAACCCTGGCGAAGTGGAGATGGCACGTGGTTAAACTTTGGGCCTCGCAGCCTGACTGCCCAGGCTCAAGTCCTGCCTCCACCACCTAATTGTGGGGTCCTGGGCAAGTGCCCCCTTCCCTCTGTGGCAAAGTGGGGTGTCTAGAATGTTCTGGAAGATGAGAGATCTTCTGTGTAGAGTACTGACAACAGTGCTGGACGAGCATAAAAAGCTCAGGACGAGTTCATGCTGCTGTTGCCATGGGGACATACGTGCAGGCCCAACGTTGCCAAGTCAGGCAATTTGCAAGAGCAGTGGTGTGTGTGGTGTGCCACCTCCTGATTGTTGAAGGTTGGCCACTAATTCAGAAAAAGTGCTAAAAGGCTATTGAGTCCAAACCTAACGCATGAGAGGATCAAACGACACCCCGGCGTTGGGAATGCCCTGCTTCTGTTCTGAGATTTGGGGGCCACTCGCGGGGTCCAGGCAGCTGACACTGCTAGCTGGGTGCCTCCTTAAGGCCAGATGCTGGCCCAGGGATGACACGCATCCAGCTTTGCCCTCAAAAAACCCTCAAAACTCATTTTTCCCTTTAGCTTTATCACCATGAGCCTGACAGCATTGCTACAACGGAGGCATAAACACAGGGCAGGGCCCGACCTGGACACCCTTGTGGGACAGTTGCCCCGGCCCCATGACCTTGGCATGACTCTTTCAACCTGTTTGGGGTTCTCTGAAGGCACTCCCCTGGAATCTAGCAAGTTCCAGAGAAGCCTACACACCTCCAGCCTGTAGCTGTTTCTTTCCAGTTCAAGTCATTTCTCATTTCCTGCTCAAAGAGTATCAAGACAACCCACAGACACTAAGGCCACCGCAGTTCTTGAGCTCAGATGGGCCTTTGCATAAAGTCAACCTTGCCCAATACCAGCATGTGCCTCCTCCATCACTCCTCCATCTCCTCACTCCAGGGGGGCCTCCTCGACCACCCTAAACTGAAAGAGCCCACTCACCCCTTCAGGATGTCATTCTTTCTGTTCCTGGTACTTTCTGTCCCCAGAAATTTCACTGTTGCTCGGTGCCTGTGTATTGATATGCTGTGAGCAGGGACAGAGTCTGTCTTGTAAACTCCTAAGGACAGAGCCTGCTTTCCAGAACTGTCAGAGGACAGGGGTGTGGAAGTGTGGCCGCAGCAGGATTTATGTTTAGCCCTGGTAGGTCATGGCCCGCACCATCTAGGCCTGCGTCATTACACTCTGACATTTGCACAATGATGAAATTGCCTAATTATGCATATCACAGAGGGTGTCCCTATAAGACATGACTGTACAAGAACAAACAACTATATTCCATTTTTATGTCCCAGGATGATGCGAAGCCCACCTGCGACTCAGAGGGCAGGAACTGTGAAGGAAGACAGTAAAATGACGTTGTCGCTGACCTCCGGAGAACTCTCCAGTTCTTCAGTGAGGTTCTAGAAACTTCCAACAACCTATCCCTCGATAATGCAGAACTGCATTTCCCTCTTGTCATACCCCCCTTCCACTCCACCAGTCTCACCCCTTTGGATTGCCACCCAAGGTAGAGAGGGAGAAGAAGTGTCTTCCCGCCCTCCCCCCACACACCTGGGGGTCACTTACAATGCGTTCAAACTCCTTGGCCTGCCGCAGCTCCCGGGGAAAGCCATCAATGAGGAAGCCCGGGCTCTCTGGGTAGGACAACATGTTGTCACTGATCATATCTAGGATGATGCCCTGGGGAGGGAAAGGGTGGTGGGTGGTCTCAGTGCTAAAGGGCCCCTCACTGAAGTGGTTCCCTTGGCAAATTCTCTTCCTCAGTCTGAATTGAAACAGAATGTGGGGGAACACCTGCCCCACCTAATGCACAGATTCTGACACCTTAGTGTCCCCGGAAGCACTTCTGAGAGCTTGGGTCCAGCTCCTGTTTACAGGGCAGGTGTCTGCCATGTGCCGGGGTCTCATTTACTCATCGCTACCTCCTTATAGATAGGTGACAGGTCACTGGGGTGACCTTTACTTTGCAAGTAAGGAAACAGAGCAGAGAGGACAAAAAAAAAAAAAAAATACTAGCTAATTTAATTGAGTGCTTACGTACCAGGCACCCTGCCAAGTGCTTTATAGAGAATCATCCAGATCTCACTGTAGCACTTTGATATGGGCCCAGCAGAGCTCATTTCATAGAAAAGGACGTCACAGGCCAGGCTACCAAAGTAGGGGACACCCCAGGCCTCTCAGCTCTCACAGGGCCTTCCCTGGAAGGCAACCCCCTTCTTGCCTCTGTGCCCATGATCTCTCTCTCACCGTGGGTACCAGGAGCCCCTGGAGCATGATGTCACGGATCTTCTGGCCACGCCGGGTGCCCTGTTGGGCCTCCTGCCGCAACAGCTGGCCCAGTCCCACATGGCAGAAACCATACTTAGTTGCCATGTTCTTGCACTGGGTCCCTTTGCCACAGCCTGGGCCTCCCATCACGAAGATGATCAGGGGGGATTTGAGGATGTCTACAGGGAAGAGGGAGAAAGCAGGGTTGGTGCTTATAGGGAGTGGGGGATGTGATTTGTCTACAAATTAGTGTGTGTCCTTGGCTGACACTGGACACAGTTCTGCTAGAAGTGCAGGTCTGCACTTTTGCCCTGGTGTGTGTATGTGTGTGTGTGTGTGTCCATGCCCAGTGGTATATCCAGGCACAGCATGTGTTAGCAATATTGCAGGCTGCTGTGGATGAGGACATGAATTTGAGCAGGTCAGGCCCTCTGCTTGCATTGCCTTAAAACATCACAATGTGGGGCCTCCCTGCTGGTGCAAGGGGTTAAGATGCAACTGCAGCACGAGTTTGATCCCCAGCCAGGGAGCAACCCACATGGTGCAGCAGACCCCTCCTGACTCACCCGCTGCTCCCCTCAGCAGTGTACTTTGGTCAATCTGCCTGTTCTGTTCCCCACTCTGTCTCTGGTGAATCCTCTTACCCCCTGCACCTCTGGCCTGTACCCCGGTTCTTGTATGCATAAATAATAAATAAACCTTTAAAAAAACCACAATGGCCATAATCCCATTTTACAGATAAGGGAAATGTGGATCAGAGAGAGGTGAGAACTTGCCCGTACCCACAGACACATCCAGTATCATCCTGCCTTTCCTTCCTCCAGCCCCAGTGACCTCATTTTGGTCCCTTGAACTTAGCAAACTCATGCCTCCCTGTTGTTCCCTGCACCTGGGAAGTCCCTGCCCTAGTTCTGTCAGGCCTTTTAAAGTTTTGTCCAAAGAGCTTCCTCCTCCCCATCAATCCTGTGTCAGAATCCCATTTCCTCTGCAGCAATGGCCACAGTCAGTCACGATTTTGCCTATTTGCCTGTTCTTGTTAGTCTCCCCAACCAGACTCAACTTCTCGAGGACAAGAACCATTTGGGTCACTTGTCCCTGTATTTCTAGCAGCTGGCACAGCTCCTGACATATAGTAGCAGGCGAGGAACAAATGAATGTCCAAAGCTACCAGATACATCAAGAGTGCTGTAGCTTATGGTGTAATTTTGGTGTCTTGTTTCTCACTCCCTTTCCTTAGCCAACTTCTATGTATCCTGCAGGGCCCACCTTAAACTCTCCCTCTTCCCTAAGCCCTTAGAGCCTGATTAGGCTTCGCTTTCCATGTAGTATCTTCTGGGTAGCGGTTCTTATTTTCTGAGATTGTTTCCTCCACTATATTACGATCTTCAAGAGGATAGGGACCTGGTTTGAAACATTTACGATGGCCAGGCCAGAACACAGTACAGCAGGCGCTCGAGTGGATCAATGAATGGCTGAATCGTGAGCATGCCCAGCTGTGGTGCAGCCACGGTGGGGGAGGGGTGTGTGTACCCCCCCACCCCCATGCGATTCGGTGCCTGGGCCTTCCTCCTGCCCTCTGCAGACTCCTTCTCTCCCCACCCCCAGTAAGCGGGCCACCCCCGCGATGTTACCCTTTTCCTGCGGCCTCAAGGACCTGCCCTTCTGCGGCAGCTTGGACTCCCCCAGACCCATGCTGCCGGTGGTCTGTGGGGTGGTCGCGTCCTACCCCACCCAAGCCCTGAGCCCTCCTGGCTCTGCTCAACGTCACAAGGGCCCTTGGCCCGATCATTTTTCGGGACGATGAAGTCTCTGGTGCTGAAGGAGGAAATGAACCCCAAAGAGGCTCCGGTGAAGCCGCAACAGCATCGCCACTCAGAAAGCAACTCGGTTGCTATGGTGACGCGGCTTTCTAGGACTCATTTCCGGAGTGGGGTGGCGCATGCGCAAAGCATCCGAGAGCGCGTGAGGGTGTTTCTCCGCCCTCCGTCCCAGGATGCCCCGCGAGCCTTGCGTGGTGACGTCACGGGGGCGTTCCCGTACGTCTTGATTAGTTTACTAGCTTCTATATATTGCAGTCAGCGGGCGGGCGAGCGGCAGTGAGTGCGCCGCGGGGCGGGCCGCGCGTCGTGGCCGGGGCCACGGGTGTCGAGACGGAGGAGCCGGGTCCCCTGGCCGCTCCGCGCTGAGCGCCCCTTCCGGGTTGGGCGGCGACGCAGGCGCAGTCGAGAGAGGCCGCGTTGGTGGGCCGAGCGCTGCTTTCCGGGCCGCCTTTCCCGGGGTCGGCAGCACCCTTGGGGGCCCCCAGGCCGGGTCAGAGACCCTGCACCGCGAGGGAAGGCTCCTCGGGACTGAGGGGCGCAGACTCCGGTGGGGTGAAAGGACTCGGATACCCCAGACCCGAATCACCGACCTCTGGCGATGGCGGCCTTCGTGAGTACGCGGCCGGGGGAGGGTGCCCGGCGCCGGTGCCGGTGGCTTCTGCGCCCCGCACTCACCGTAGCTCGTCTTCTTAACCCGCAGGGCCCCGGCAGCCAGAATATCACTGAGTATGTCGTTCGAGTTCCCAAGTAAGTCCCTGACCCCCCCCCACACACACACACACTCACACACACTCCCCTCAAAGGAATTAAAACCTTTGTGAATTTGTAGACGTGCCTGGCATACCTGTGGTTTTTCGTCCAGCCTGGACGCTAGCAAGGGCAGCTCTGGGCTTGAGCTGAGGCCTCTCTGGAAAGGAATGAATGAATGAGTACTGTGTCCTGCGATGCAGTCCCCAGGCCTAGGCTGGATTGCCTTTTCCCCAACTGTAACTCAGCTGGGTAGATTCTGTTGATCCTACAAAACCCAGTGCTAGTATATTCCTCCTCCATGAAGCATTTTTTGCCTGTACTCCCCCTGTGCCAAGACTGAGTTGCTGATTAGCCCCACATCTTGGGCTCCTCTAAATCTTTGTCCCTCTTTCTGCTTTTCTAATGCATGGGGTTAGGGGGTATGGATGCAGCTTCCCTGACAGAATGATAATCTCTGGGATCTTTTTGTGGGTCCCCATCATTGCCCACAACCAGAGGCTAAGCCAAGTAGGGTTTGCTCAGTGAGTGAGTGATTGACTGAGCACTGCTTCTTCTTGCCCGTTCCAGAAACACAACCAAAAAATACAACATCATGGCCTTTAATGCAGCAGATAAAGTCAATTTTGCTACTTGGAATCAGGTAAGTCCTGGGTGTGAAGGGATGAGAGAACTTGATCCTGGATTTGGTGATTGTAAAAGTTGCTCAGTTGTAGTAATAACTAAGGCTGTTTTGTCAGCTCTCACTGAGTGGAGAGAAAAATGGTGACTAAGGCCCAGGCTAAGCTACTGGGCATCCCTGTCTGACTTGGCAAATTCAGAAGGAGGCCTTCTCCTAAAGGGAAAACATTTAGAAGTTGTGTGGTGAGGTGGACATTTTTGATCTAGATTAATCTGGGAAGGGGAGGGACCTGCATTCTGCAGATGATCTCAGAACCCCGGCTGTCAGCCTCTAGAAAGGACTTTGAAAAGTATCTTAGTCTGTTCTGCTTCTACAAATAAAATGCCATAGAATGGGTAGTTTAAAGACATCAGACATTTATTTCTCACAGTTCTGGAGGCTGGGATTTCAAGAATAGAGCACTGAAAAAATTGGTGTCAGTAAGAACCAGCTATTGCGTTCATAGATGACCTTTTTCCCAATGTGTCCTCACATAGTGGAAAGGGCAAGGGAACTTTCTGTAGTCTCTGTTATAAGGGAACTGATTCCATCATGAGGGGTCTACCTTTCAGACCCAGTCCCTTCCCAAAGGCCTCCGTCTCTCAACTCCATCACTTTTGGCATTAGGTTTCAACGAATGCCTATTTTGGGAACAGGTACATTTAGTTTATAGCAGAAGCCATTAAAAAGGTTTTAAACCAGGAAGTTGTAATGTGATCTGGCAGTGTTGGAGGACTGACTGTAGGGGTCAAGGACAGGAGAATAGGCGGAGGTCATGTTTTGGGTCCAGATGAGCAGTAGTAGGGCTTGGAGCAAAGGGTGGTGTGAGAAGTGATTGGATTCTAGTGAATTTTGGAAGTAAGATCAACAGTATTTATTGATGGATTGGGGATTGAGTGGTGGGGGCCAGAGCAGAATTGCAGAGGATTCTATATACAAGATGAAGAAGGCTGAGAATGCACTTCTCAAAATGCATTTGAATGCATTTTTCAGAACATTAAATGACATATGGCATTAAATGACTTTTTTTTTTGTTTATTTTTTTTTAAATATTTATTTATTGATTGATACAAGCACTGGGTACAGTTAGAGGCGCGGGAGGGTGAGAGAATTCACCAGAGCCAGAGCAGAGAGCAGAAAAGGCAGAAGGACCGAAGTACACTGCTGAGGGGAGCAGCGGGCGGCAGGAGAGGTCTGCGCGCCATGTGGGACCCTCCTCCGGTGGCCGGGGAGCAGCCGGGGATCGAACCGGCGCTGCAGAGGCTGCGGGCAGCTTCACAACCCAGCGCTCAACCGCTGCGCCACCGGGGAGGCCCTGACTGTTAGGAGACTGACTTTTTGAGTCTCCAGATTCCTACAGTTGTCCTTGTTTTATCCTCCTGATAGATAGCTTAGCTGGGGATCAGACTTGTGGTTGGTGACTCTTTCCTCTTGGAATCCTGAAGACTTGCTCCATTGTTCTTTAGCTTCTGGTTTTTCTGTTGAGGCTCTCTGCCCTTCTCATTCTTGATCCTATATATCATGGGTCAGCACGCTCTTTCGTGAAGCTAATAATTGTTCAGCTTTGTTGGCAGGACAGTCTCCTGTGGAGTGAAAGCAGTTATGATGAAGTATAAGTGAATGGGTGAGACTGTGTACCAGTAAAACTTTATTTGCAAAAATGGGAGGGGGCATCCCACAGGCCATAATTTTTTCCCCTCCTGCCTTCAAATTTGTAGGATCTTTTTGTTCCCAGTAACTTGCCATTGTACAACAATGAGAAGTGATAAGGCCCATCTTGCATTTTTAGTTAATGTGTCTTGGCCATTGTTCTTTTCATTGCTGCTTTTTTTTTTAATGGATGAACCCCATTGTACTTAGCCAGTCCCCTAATGATGTACATTTAGATTCATTTTCTATAGTTTGCTATAATAAGCCATGCTGCAATAGCCGTGTGTGTGAGTGAGATTTTTATCCTTCATTATGAACAGAGAATCCCTAAGATAAACAGTACATGGCAATTTAAAATTTTAAAATTTACTATATACTCCTAAATTACTCTTAAATTGAAAGTTGGAAACCCTCAGCCTTTAATGGTATCTGAATTCATGGGATAGTCCAGAGTTGGATGTAGAGAGAGAGAAGAAAGGAGATCCATGAACTGGTTTTTGTTGTTTAAGGACCACAGTGATCTGTTTCCTTCCTTCCCTTTTTTTTTTCTTTTTCCTATTTCTCAGTGGGAAATAATCTTGAAGTTTTAAAAAGCTTTAAAAGCAGATTACCTGCTTAGAGGTTTTTCTCTCTGACCTCCTCAGGCCCGGCTGGAACGGGACCTAAGCAATAAGAAGATTTACCAAGAAGAGGAGATGCCTGAGTCTGGTGCAGGCAGTGAGTTCAACCGTAAACTTCGGGAGGAGGCCCGGAGGAAGAAGTATGGCATTGTCCTCAAGGAGTTCCGGCCAGAAGACCAGCCCTGGCTGCTCCGTGTCAACGGCAAATCAGGCAGGAAGTAAGTGTTGAGAGCAGCTCCCCCAACACTCTGCACCCTGCCCCATGCCCTTGCTCTGCTGGGTGTCCTTGTTGAACTTGGTTGTCCCATCGTACAGTGGGAGATCAGACCACGTCCTCTCTTGTGGGGTTTTATTTTTTTAAATTGAAACAAGTTGATGCTCATGCAGGAGTTCTAAGGGCCAGTATGCTGGAAACCCTGGTGTTGGTTCCTGGTTGTGTATGGCAAAGGGCTGCTCCTGGCCCTGGGGTTGTGAAGACTGGAAGGCCTTCCCAGACAGGGGGGGACGGGTTTAGTGGATGCAGGACACTCCAGGTAGAATATCATACACAGAGGCCCAAAATGGCCTGCTGGACTCTAGGGATTATCACAGCACATGACAGTGATGGAGGTTGTGTGGATGGTATGGCACAATATATGCCAAACTACAGCCGAATTGTGGGTAGGGTGGGCCTCAGGGAGACCTTGAAGGTTTCAGTCAGGGAAGGGACACTCAGAGTAGGAAGCCCAGATTTGCAGGCCAGAGGCCTGACCCTGGTTCAGGCCTGAGGAAATGGTGGCCTTGTCGGTGTGTCTGCTTCAGATAGGCCCATTCAGGCCCTCCTCGCCTGTCCCATCCTGTTCCCTCAGTGAGCTCTGGGTTCCAGCACAGCTTGGGTGGTAGAGCCAGAGGCATATTCAGAGGGATCTGAACATAGGTCCTGTGCTCTTCGTGGCTCCACTGACACAGTCCTTCAAGAAAGGACCATGATATATCCCATACTGAGAGCCTTGGGTCTGCTGTGTGAAGTGGGGTGCATTGGCCTTATTTTTTAGATGTGGAAATTGAGGCTCGGAGAATTGAAGATCCAGCCTGAACCATCCCCCGAAATACAGGGTTTTGCTGGGAGAACATTGGTGGTTCTGCAGAATTGGGGGCAGACCTGAAGGGTGGTTTGGGTGGACCAGGGCTCGTTTTGGGGCCATGCCATGACTGTGTCTTCTTGCAGGTTCAAGGGCATAAAGAAGGGAGGTGTGACAGAGAACACATCCTACTACATCTTCACTCAGTGCCCTGATGGGGCCTTTGAGGCGTTCCCTGTGCACAACTGGTACAACTTCACCCCACTGGCCCGCCACCGCACGCTCACCGCAGAGGAGGCTGAGGAGGAGTGGGAGAGGTGAGTGAGCTTGGGTGGGGCTGGAGGGAGGCAGGACGCAGAGTGAGATG